GTAAATAAGCCAGTAATGTCACAAGTTGTCTCAATTTTAGCAAAAACGTGTAAAATTGGCACGTTTTACGGAATATTTTATTGAAAAAAATAGTTTTTTTGGATGAAAAATTGCCTCCTGACATACCATAAGTGAAATGGTGCGATCCATGAAGTTAGATTAATCTACCGGACGTTAGAATTCTCCCTGGCCACGAATGGGGTTGTTTTAAAAACCGCATAAAAAGTTGTCGCCCGGGGCACGGCCCTCGTACCTCTTTGGTGATGGATGGGGGGCAGCGTAATATGAAACCTATGGAATTCACTTGACACGCGGGGGCGTTTCAAAAGTTCGCTTCACGGCTCAGAAGGGTCAGTAAAAAGTGACAAGTTAAAAATGACGAAAAAACTTTGTCTGGACGAAAAATTCAACGAACTTTGAACTCTGAAGTCGTTGTGGTAGGTTGGGGTCATAGGTTAAAGTTTATGATTAAAAATTATCATCGAATCTGTAGTACAGTGACCGACCGAGTGTGTTGGTTACTTGGTTCGATCAATTATTATGAATCAATTACACCAAATTTCATGACTATTCCAACCCAGAACGTATGATTGAATAACTTTATATGAGGAAGAAGCCCTATATCAACCTTATATATCCTTATATCTATATTTACATATGAGCAACACGCTTCAAATCAGTTCATTTATCGCGCTCAAGTTTTTGCCACAAAAGAAACATTCCTAATACAAATCTAGCTACAATTCATCGTAAAAGTAGCCCAAATGTTCTAAAAATGACAATATTTGTGGCAAAAAAGAAAACATTCATTTCCTTTGTAACATGACCCCACTTTCACCCTTGGATTGGACCTCACACGTAGAAGTTTAAATCCAAGGCCAAAGCCATGGTGCAACCCTTTCGTCTCGTTGCTAGTGGTTCCCAAACTTCACTAGTGCGTTGCATGATAACCCCGACCTCAAAAAATAACTAAAATTGAAAAATAGAAAAATCTCATATTCAAATCTCATGTCCACCGCATCGCTAGATATCACCTATTCCGATATATAATATCTTTTCACACATAAGTTGTACAGTCTTGTTCTCTGTGGAAGGCGTGTAAAACCGTCAAGAATGAAAAAATTGCAAACCAAGTTTTTGGAAAATAATAAAATCTTTGACTGGCATATGACACTTCGTACATAGTTTTAAAAACGATTTTTGGTTATGACTAAATTTGAATATATAGTCGAAATTATTTCTTGGCCAGCTGATTATGCTTTGAGTACAGATCTTGATTAAATGGTTCATTGTTTTTTAGTTCCAGCTTTAGGACATTTTCTGTTATGATAATTCTCACTATAGTCAATATAATTTAATCAAGTGATATATTCGAATGTAGTCTAAATTTCTGACAAATAAAATTTCTTGGCCAGTGTGTGATACTTGGCAAGCGTCTGACCGCATCTCAAGGATTAAAAAGCGTTTAGAAGGGATTATTTTTGCTTGGTAGATTAAGCCTGCGATAAGACACGAGCTGAGCGTGTGAACGGGGCTTTGTTTGTGTTAGATTTTAACCCGTTTTTGGCGATATTTTTCTATAAACGTTGCGATTTTGGGTTTTTGGTGTACGAATTTAGGCCTTATGGATCATTTGAAATTTTCAGAATGAGTTTTGGTCATCGATTTATGCGTACACAATTTGTTGATACTATTTCGTGTTAGTTTTTAACCCGTTATTGGCAATATTTTTCTATAAACGTTGCTATTTAGAGTTTTTGGTGTGCGAATTTGAGTCTTATGGGACATTTGAAATTTTCAAAATGGGTTTTGTATCTCCGATTTAACGTATCAATTTAGTACTCTATACACTTTTTGTTGATACTATTTCTTGTTGATATTGTTTCTCTTCCGTTGTTAGCCATATTTTTGTTATGAACGTTGAGATCTTGGTTTTTAGTCTAACGGGAGCACTCAGCAAAAATTTTCGAATTGGCATATCAATCTGGGTTGTGAGTTATATACTGGTTTTTGGTACATAAAAGTAGAATTGCAAGAAAAAAGCATTATTGACCCATCTCCATTCTGGTAAAAAAAAGTTTTAATTTGATCTATTTAAAAAAAATCTATTTTAATAACTTAATAAAAATGGGACATTACCAATATCACCAAATTGTTCTGGGACACTTTAATCTTTTATTTGTGAAGAAATCCAGAAAACATAGTCTCTAATTACTTTCCATTGATCATTTTGGGTGGCCACGACCTCTTTCGTTTATTACAGTACTAATTGTTTGTATTTGCAGTAATTTTGGGGCAAAATGTTGACAAAAAGGATTTCAAAAGTAGTTATTTTTATCAAAATTATCTAAATTTACTAACACTCAATAGACCATACATTGTAGAGTATTTCAATACGTGACTGAAATAAACTAAAACTAACCCCCTAAAATTAGAAAAAATTTAAAATAAGACCAGATGGTCGGGTCGTTACGGTACCGGAACTTAACGACCCATAGCGGGAAACGCAGACGAATAAAAAAAGGCTAAAAATTGAACAACCGAAAAAAAAAACGGCTTCGGATTTACTTGGTTTTCTCACAAAAATTAACGCTCTTCGCATTTTTGGGGTAAATAGTCTTAATTCGTTAAATAAACAAAATGTGTACAAAAAAGATTAACATGTTTCGTCTTTCGGTATAAACTTACCCAAAAAATGCTATTTAAGACAAAATAAACCAATTTTGGGGGAATTTCATACAATTATAGATTATTAATTTCGTAATGAGTTGCGTCACAATGATGACGTCATCAGTCTCGGGTATAATATTGTTTTAATTCATTTATTCGTGTTTATAAAATCGTTAAAATGACCAAAGCCATCAAAATATGTCATTAATTATTCAAAATATCAACGTCACAAAAAGGATTATGACATCACTATACCGACCGTTTATCTTGTCACAATTGTGATACTCATGGAAAGAATTTTAGGTAACAAAAAATAACACATTCCTGTCCTTTGTTACTCAAATAACTGATCTGGTCAAATAAACTATATATATATATATATATTAGGTGAATATCCTTGGCCAGATATGATAGTACATAAATCTCACGATTTAGGGCAACTTTATATTCGGGCCTTACTTGATTACACCTAAAATATTAGATATGACGATATGTCTGCGGTATTCCATCTACCGTGGGAAATGTCGATATAATTCAAGGCAAGTTCAGACATGCAAATGAGTGTTACTTATAACCCAGGGATAGTTCGTGGGACATTGGTAGGGGACTACGACTGAAAATTTTTTTGAAAAATATGGTTGAGAGCGGAAGTACGAGTTGTTCGACGAAAATCGTTATGTACCTCAAATTTAATTTTTGTTATGGATCGTTTAGGTAAATTATTGTTGTTGTTATTTATAGAACGCATTTCGCATTATTCAAGTGGCCAGAAATTTTCAAAAGGGGGGCATTTGCAATTTTAACTTGCCATATTAGACCGTAACGGCTATTGGGGTTTACAGGAGTCTTTAGCGTCTAACAGGCTTTTCGAGCTACGAAAAATTGCTATGTATGGCGGGAAAAAAATCTTTATTTTACATTTCAAAATTGGGGGGGTGCTCCGGTTCCGGCATCACCTGCCCAATTTATTCCTCCATAAGTGAGATGGCATTGCCACACAATTCCAATTTGTAATCATTGCGCCATTAAACTAAAATAAAACACATACCAGAGACTGATTTTTATGCCAAACACACAGCATTTTTAAATTCAAACAGGCTACCCAAAACCTCTAATACTATCGCCGTCATGCAAGGTGTATAAGTAACCCGATGTTTACTGAGTGGGTACATTAAGACAATTCAAATCACGCTTTTCTCGTTCAACCAACTCAACTTAGTATCAAGTTTCAACTCGGAAACCAAGTTCCGATGTAGACTACCTGTTTTGAGTTTAATTCACGATTTGAATTGATGTGCATTTGGGTCTAACTAAAACCTAAAGAAGACTTATTTGCGATTTACGAAAAGCGGATATAAGTGATTTTTTCTATAGCTTTTTAAATGCCTGTCGTTTCGTTTTTCATGTGAGATACAAAAAAACGAGATTCAAAAAAGTTCAGCGTCTTCAATGAGAGAAATTTGTGCGAGACCCTAATTTTGTTACGAATTTACCGTTTTGAAATTTATAATATGCATTTGTTGGAATTTTATGCCAACAATTACACTAAACATATCATATCATAATTGACATATTCTCTTAATATAGATGAGCTTGGATTTTTGTCCCATGTCATGTTTATTACAAGTAGTCGTATTTTATATTTTTTGAAAAATACGAAAAATCGAGTGAGTTGGACCCCCGCAACGTTGGCCCACATACACCTAACTTCTAACCCATGTTGAAGCCCAATGCTCTCCTGATCATATGTGTAACATAGGTCAATGTGGGGCGAATGGGGGTGATACTATGACACCCATGTTTGCTTAAGGTTACATCGAGTTACAGTCATAGGATTAAGAATGAGTAAATTAAGCTGCAAAGATGTTTTTCCAAAATAAATTAGTTCGATTTTTATCACTTTTCCTCAAAACCCAAAAATTAGTTACTTTTTGGTTTGTTACAATAAATTTTGTCAAAAATCCCACCCTTGCGTAAGATTGTTTATTTTTTACCCAAAAAAATCACGGCACACCCCTTATATGGACAAAACTTTACCCCGAATTGCAGCTGTATTCACCCTGGTGGTCTGGGTCTCACGCATCCCCGTCTAAATAATAAATAAAAACAAAATCAAAGCTTTCTTCAGACTGACCATGTATCGAATTTCCGTCTCTAATCGGAATGGTCATTTCCGCGCGCGGTTTTTGTCCAGTGGTTTTGTTACGTCACCATTACTTTGTATCTGCAATTGTCATACAATAATTGTGTCTGGGTGGCTTAATTGTTGTATTATAGATTTACTTTGTGTCGTCATAGTATAATTTGTTTATTTCTTTATGACATCACAGGTGCCATGCAGTGTGATGAAGAAACTTGCGCAAATGGCGGGAAATGTGTTACAAGAGATTCATCGTTCGTTTGCCACTGCCCAGAAGGATGGACAGGCCAATCATGCCATTTACGTGAGTTTATTTTACATTATTGATGACAATTACGTCAGAATGACGTCATAAAATGATGACATGATCTCCATGTTACAGGAACAACGAGTGTTTGTGCCGATTCTCCTTGTCAAAATGGCGGTACTTGTGTAGGAGACGGGAATGAAATTTCTTGCTTCTGTAGAGAAGGCTTCACTGGACTTCGCTGTGAAGAAGGTATTGACTTATATATATATATATATATATTGTAGTTTGTACATATGTAAACACATGCATTTTGGAATTTCAAGGACTTAGATATTGCAATTTAAAGTCTTCAACTGAATGTATGAGCGGATACATAAGTCGCAAGGGACCGCGCTGAGAGTGCATACGCTAAAATCGTACTGATAGAACCCTTTGAAGTTTGCTCGAGGAAAGTTTCCGAGCCCACAACCAAAAGTGAAAACGCCAATATTGATAAACGAGTTGCAAGTTTAATCAAATCAAGGTTCCGGGCCCTTAATTAAATATAGAAAGAGTACTGATAGAAGAGTTGCAAGCGACTATTGACACGCTTAAATCTATATATATCTATGTTTATGATTTTAAAGCAGATGTCAATCGATAGGTAATGAAACGATATTTCATCTCAAACTCCACACGAATTCGCTACCCTGTCAAAATGAGTTTTTTTCCACGTGTTCAATTTGAATATAGATGAGCGTTCAATATTTATGACCCCCTTGAACACTTTTTTTCTAATTTCGCGCAAAAACCTTATTTGAATCCCGTCTTTCGACAGTTTTTTTAAAACGTGCGCAATCAGACGCGAATCGTCTCGCCTGAATATAAACAACTGTCAATGTGAAAGCGACAAACGAACGCCTGGGAATCGTCTTCGCGGGTTTTCCGACTTTTTCACTGAAAATGAGGTTTTCAGATAGTGCAACCCCTAATGGTGTATAGTGCCCATGTCATAGAGTTTGTTTAAAATTGTAAAAGGACTTTATCAACGCTTCTACTGTACTTTTCATAAAAGTACATGTGACGTCATAGATAAGGTTGAAATTTCGGCGCGTACAAGTCGAACAGACAAGAAACTTTTGAGTTTCAATTATTAAAACAAAACAATTTCACTTATTTCTCTCATTAATGTGGATTTGTAAAAAAATTAGTGCCCGTCTCAACTATTGTCATCGATTATTTTCTCAGTTTTAAAAGATATCCTTACAGGCAAAAGACTGCGTGAAGTCGTAAACATTTCTTTTACGTTTACGTAACATTTGAAACACTTTCCGCGCGAATTGTCATGCTTCTGTCACGTCACAATGATTTTAAATATGATGATTCAAACGTCACAATACGATGATTTATTAATTGCCCATTAGTGCTAATTTTATACTTCATTGAATTTTATTAATTCCGCTACCAAACGGGTCCAGTCTTGTCTAAAAAGTCAATTTTTTTAAAATTAATACCATATTTTGCATAAATATTCCCGAAAATTGTATTTTGGCAATTTAGCATCGTATTTTTTTGTAATTTTGTTGCGATTTTGGTGGCATGTGACAGAATTGTTAATATTTGACTGATATTCATTTATTTTCACGCTTGCGCGCCTCTGTAAAAAGCGGAAATGTTCAATGGAGACGATTCTATTGTAAATGGTTATGAATTAATATGTGCGCACATATTATTATACGGTACATATCTTCATATACGACTATCTCTCATAACAAGCCTCTTACTCAGCGCACATATAAGAATCTAATATGGTTCAAGAAATAGTTTTTGTCTACAGCTGCTAATCGTTTTTATATTAACTTAATCCCAATATCTACCACCTCGCCAAGGGTGTGATGAACATAGACACTTCGCTGAATCAAAAAAATGAATTCTTCAAAAAATGCTTGCTTGTATAGGGTTATGGAAAAGGTGGTAATCGCCACACAAATATACACTCTCATTTTATATACAGTACATATTTGACTCCTCGCGTATTTCCATCTTCAATGCAAAACTTATATTAGACTTGAAATTAATTTCCGAAATTCCAAGCATAGTTATATCATTGCGCGTGAATGTATACAAGTATAGTGTTATTATTCAAATTTAAATCAAATGATGCCCGGAAAAAACATTGGTTGTGACGTCATAGAAGCTCATTGTTCAAATTATATATTAATTTACCTCGAATATCACAGATTTTTGAATATATATATTTTGTTTTTTCAGACGTGAACGACTGCAACCCTTATCCATGGTAAGTTTATTTTAATTCTGTTTTTTTTTTTTTTTTGAATTCTAGTTTTTTTTTAGTCAGAGCGGGAAAGACCAAAGATGTGTAAATGAGACTTTAAAAAATAATATTATTTCTGCTGAATTGGCAACATTTAAAATCACTGTATAATTTATATAATGGAATTGCCGTATTAGTCTTTCAATACAAGGTATTTGCTGTATTCAAATCATGATTCGTGATAAGTTATTGTTTTCACAAAGACAGAAATGTAAATTAATACAAAAATGTGAGATTTGATAAAAAAAATAAAAACGCCACGTTTTAAAATAAGAACTTACTATTTCACAACTATTATCCAGTTAGGGTTAGAAACGATTTAAAAATTTGAATTACCAGTGCAATCTGCATTCTTAGGCCTAACTGGAAATTTACTATTGAGTGTTGGCGGGTGGTCTGTACAAGAGATCTCAATTTTCTAATCACTAGGCCAACTCACACTAATAACAAAAATGATCTCCATTATTGGACACGTTTAGTGGCCATAACGATCGTTTCAATATTATGTTGTTATTGTTATTTGTCTCCGTCATTTTTAAAAAATCGCTTTTCTCTTCGAATACTGGACCAATTGCTTTGATATTTTCAATGGTTAAAGATAAAATTTTTCTCGAGAAGGCTATTACTTTTTTTTCGCTATGACGTCATCAAAATTATTGCCACTGGGTGGCGCTACGTGTCCATATATTTGAGCATAGCTCTCTTGTTAGCATTTCAACTCAAAATTCATTTTCACTTTCAGCTACAATGGTGGAAAATGCATTGACGGAGAAAACCATTACAAATGTGAATGCCCGACTGGATTTGCTGGTCCGGAGTGCAGAATAAGTAAGTTAATGCTGTTTTATTTCTCATCTTGGGGCCAAAATTGTTTTTAATGCAAAAATGTAAAAACTGGGTATATTTATGCAAACTTTCCTTTTTGTAAATAACGCAACATCCTTTCATAAGTAGTCTGGCACAGCCGCAATATCCGCTCCCAGCCCCAAGTGTAATATCATCCATCTACTCCATTCCTCGTAAACTAACAATTTCTATAACCAGTCCTTATTTACTACAGACATAAACGATTGTGCGTCCTCACCCTGCGCGTATGGAAGCACATGCATCGACGGAATCAACGAATACACATGTGTTTGCCCACCTGGAAGATTCGGAAAACGATGTCAAACAGGTATTGTGACGTCACGTGATGATGTCATTTTTCAACAATTTTGATCTTGTGTTATATTCAATTATGTCAATATAATAATTACGTGATGATTTACAACACTTGTGACGTCAATATATCATGACGTCACTAGCATTTTCCCTTATATTGTGATGTCATAAATTAACATCGTTTGTGATGTCATTTCAGTCGATGGACCAGCTGAAGCATGTTTACGACATGGAACTTTGTATCCTCATGGAGAGAGCTGGAACGAAGCCTGCAATAAATGTAAATGTAATAAAGGAGTCACCAATTGTACAAAGGTAGATTGCTATTTCATAATGCGATATTTGTTTTTTATTTTTTATGAGGATCTCTACTGCGAATACGGCACTAAACAAGCAACCATCTATGCCTAAAAAAATACTATTATCTTTAAAAAGGCGGGAATCTTTTTGCATCGACATTGCTAACCTAAATAATTAAAATCATTTATATAGTTATGTATATGATGGCTTTATTTAGAATAGGTACTATATACATAGTGATCCAATTTTCTCCAAAATACATTTATTGCTTTGTCAACCAAACAAATGTAAATAGGAAGGCATACATACAAAGAAATAGACACTGTTTTTTGGGTAAAGACTGGAAGGAGCAAAGTCAGCTCAAGGTGGTATCTATATTTCTCTTAAGAAATAAGAACACGACGCTCCCGAAGTATGTGCTCCAAGATGGTGCACAACCTGAACCCTAACATGGTACACATACTATGTTCAGGATGTGCGCCATCTTGGTGCACATACTTCTGGAGCTCCAAGAAAACTAACAATACCTTATATAACCTCGCCATTTTATAAAAACTTAAAACTTCACTATAAAATTTAATTTCTGTTTCAGATCTGGTGTGGACCCCCTGTATGCTTCACAAGTACCATGTCACAGAACCCCTCATGCCCACAAGGACGGATATGCGAAATACTTCCGCAAACGGATTGCTTTACCCCAGAATGCAAAGCCCGGGGAGTGTGTCGTAGTGTGTCTGAAATTTCTGAACCCCCATCTCGAGGATGGCCACCACTTGATGTCGCTCCCAAGTGTTTTCCAAACAAAGAGAAATTCCCTCCCACAAATTGTGCTCGTATCACTCTGGTTTTCGACAGAGATGAAATGCCCCAGGTAAATATTTATTTTACAGTAAAGTACATATAAGAGACTTTGGGGTCGAAACCCGGTCAGTGCAGCATTCTTATAAAAGCTCTCCTAGAAAATGCTTCTTTCTCGATTTTATTTGCGTATGATATATTGTTGCCAAAAACTGAAGGGACACATATCAAGAATTTTGCTTTTTGAGGAATTACAAAACTCATGACGTCATAGACAATGATGTCATGTGTTTATTAAATTTATTCAGTTATGAATTATTTTCTCCGACTTTTAATTACCAAAAACTTATGTTATTTATTCATTACAGGGTATCTACGTCCAAGACATTTGCACAGCAATTCGATTGGTCCCGGCTTTGATTCAATATGCGTCGTCACATCTACTTGTTATAAGATGCGCAATACAGAAAACGAATCCGGACGGAGTGCAGATTACTATTGTAAGTATTCTTATTGTGGTGACGTCATAATATGTAATTTATGACATCATATAGATATTTTTTCAAATCTATAATGTTTGGTAATAGTGACTACATATTTTGATGAGGAATACATTATGATGTCATCATTCATACCTATGACGTCAACATTGTGATTTAAAACCTATTCTTATGTCACTGTTATATTTTTCAGTCAATGAATTCGACGAAAGATGGCGATTTGGCTTCTCACGCAGCAGACTCGCTTTCAAACGCCTTGACGAATGGAGCATCCAGTTTTCCTCTTCTAGACGCGATCAAAGAAGTCAAACTAGAGACGACGATTGTTGTCACAGACGCTCCTAAAGGTTTGTTGGTTCATTGTAAAATTTGTCTACGATACTAAAGTGCGGCTTTCTTTATTTATTTGAAAATTCACGTGCAAATAATAGGTAAAAATTTGTTTATTTATGATGGAGTTTCGTCTGTAAATACTAAATACTGGGACTCAAAATTTCTTATAACCGTATTTATTGTATTTCACAATTTCGCTCGCTTTCGCTGGGATCTACAAAAGCATTTAATCGAGCGGGATAAGCCATTGAATTTAGAAATTTGAAAAATTGAAAAAAATGAAACTTGATGCTTTTTGAGTGTCTGGAGAAAATTTTTGACCCATTTTTTATAAACATTGGAAGTATTAAATCCCGACGTTCAAAAATTCAAAATATCCAATCCGACTCCCGAAAAAAATTGACTCCAGCTCCGACGCCATTTTTATTCGTTTCTTTCTTTTTTCAGCTGCTCAGTCGCAGTTCATGATGCCTTTACTGATATCTTTGATCGGGGCGGTCGTTCTCTTGTGTTCTCTGGGTATATTGTGTCTGTGTTTCGCTCGTCGAAGAAGAAGAAGGCGAAGACGTCATAATGATGACGTCATGTCATCACGTCACGATTTACCAATGGAACGTGACAATAGTTCAAGAACTCTGCTATCGCCGAAACAAAACAACCTCGCCGAAATTTCAGCAAAACTGACGAAATCGAATCGAACCGAGGAAAAGAATTTATACAGAAGAGAAGTTCTACAAGTCCGGGTTCGAACCGAATCCGAATCTGATATCGAATCTATTGACGTGTCAAAGCAAAATCTTAGCGTCTCACCCCCGTCCACAAAAGTTATTCAATCTAGCGGGCGTTCATCTTCGAGAGGTATTCCCCTTTCTGCGGGTCACAGTTCCAATGACAACCGTCGATATGCATCACCACCTACTACGTCAACACAGCTCGATGACGTCAGCGATGACGACACAGTTCAAGAAGAAGATAGCGTGTTTCTATCACCGTCATCTCGTCATGATGACTTCACAGCGTCCTATTCATCAGACTCTGAAGTTGCGACGCTATTGTACCGCCCACATCAGCAACAACCACACTCATCGGGCGTTACCCCCACCCCCTCCCGAGCGGAGACCGCACAATTCACTCGACTGCCACCTTACGATAGCATTGTAAACAGCCGACACTCTTCAGCGTCCGGGGTGGCGGGGAGATCCACTTCGCCCCCTCCTTCTTATACGAGGCATTATAAGCCCTATTCGTCACGAACACAGCAAAGGAGCTGCGCATGCTCCCCTTCAAACACTAGTGACGTCACGACAACGTCACAACATGCTAGACAATTACCTATGACGTCATCACACCAAAGATTGGCGTCATCGTCTTCAAACTATTTACCAGAAGGCAATAATTCTAATAATAACAGTAACCGATATTCTATATCCGCGTCCAATAGAAGTATACATCGTAATAACTCTGAAAACCGGACGCGGACGCCGGATATCCGACCGGATAACCGAAGATCTCCGGCACCGGATAACCGGAGAAATTCGTCCGTTTTATCGGTCAACTTGCGACACACGCATGAAGTCACTGTTTGAAAGTTGATTTAAACTCTGCAGAATTTTTTATTTTTCAATTTTTTACGAAAAAATTCATTGACCCATGAAACTTAGCCAGCCATAACGGTCATGCATGAGCGGGCATTTTTGCACAATTGAAGCTGCAACGTTTTTCAATGTCTTGTCGCATTTTCACATGTCATATATACGACGAAAAATTGAAATAACCTGACCGGATTTCGAACCCCTGTTATTAATGTTTTCCATTATTGAAAAAATTCAACTGTGCCTGGATACATCTGAATTATAATGGAATGTAACAAAGTTTTCTTTTTATATTTCAAACCCCCTACTCCCATCCAAACAAAACAAAAAAATACTGAGCAGAATTTAGTTGTTTAACAGTGGTTCTCAAACTTTTTTTGGTTTCGGCCCATCTGGAGATGTTACGGGGCCCAGAAGTAGGCCATGGCCGACTGGTTGAAAACCGGTGGTTTAATCAAATAATTCGATTTTTAATTTCAGTGGAAGCTTGTAGCTCAAAGTTCTATTTTAATCCACCAATGAGGTTTAATTGTAAACGTCCACTGACAAATTATTAGTTTTGACAATTTAATATTAATCGTAATTTCGTTGCACAGTCGATCTAATCAATTCAAAGTTTTGAATTTTATTATTTTATCCCCTTTCTTCTACTTCCCAATGAAAAAAAATTCCTAAAATACTTTGTGTGCGTTCAAAAGTTATCTCGGCCTTTTACCTTTTAGAGAGAAAATCGTAGAAGTTTTTTGTTCTCATTTCAATTACTTATTTACAGAAATTTTAAACAGTTTGATAATCGTGGAAAATTCAAGTTCAAATGAGTTTTTTTACTCCCACTCGCCCCAAAAAAATTTATTTTTCAAATTTATGTGATCATGTGACTTTTTAAATCCCAGTAACCACAGCAAAGAAAAAAGTCAAACAGCCTTTATTTATTTTTTTAGTTTGATTTTATTTTTTTTATGTTTTTATCGATCATGAATAAGTAAAATTACTTTTTTTGCCCCAAAAATCTCCCGGAATTATGTTTTTCAACGTTTTATTTCAAAGAGCAACTTTTCGGTGAAAAATTTATTTTATAGAAAAATTCACTCACAATGGAAAATAGGTCAAAAACTAGGATGAAGTGACGTCACCGTGACTGAATGACGTCACAAAGCGTGACGAAACTTCAGACTCTAGCAGATACGATAAACTTATCATCTTTCAACTTTGTGGATTTTTCCAAAAATAAATTTTTCATCGATTTTTAAATTTGGAAGCTTTTTTTATTTAAAATGCACTTCGCTTTTATGTTATGTTATTTTTTATTGCTTATTTTGTATTTGTGTCTTAGTTTTTATTTTTTTGTGATCAAAGCTCTATAGATCATAATTGTAACTCAAAAACTGGCTCATAATATCAAAAAAATGTCGATAATTTTATCGTCATTTTGATGTAAAATGATTTTTTTGACAATTTTTTGGAAGAAATTTTTCTTCAATTTCATTCAAATCAATCATTTCCGGTGAAATTAAAGTTTCATTTCACAAAATAACACTGCAAAAACAGCACAAATTTCATTAAATTTCGTTTGTATACAATTTTATTGTGCTTCATTTTTTGTAATCATTGTATTTCTTATATTGTTTAACTTATTATTTTCAGAGAATTCAATCACAAATTAAAAAAAAATTGGCCCAAAATTTAGAATTTTCATTGCAAGAAAAATTTGTAAAAAATATTTGTCAAAATGAAAACTTGAACTTCAATTCACTTAAAAAGTCATTACCGGGTTTGTGAACTTTCCACTTTGAACTCTAGAATGATCTTTTCGAACTAAAGTAATTGAACTTTGAAGGACAGCTATTTTATATGGGCCAAACTTCATCATGTTGTATTTGAGCCACTGTTCTAGTGAAATTATTGCTCACAAATTTCATCAATTCATAGATTTTAAATTCACAATTTCGTGAGACATTGTTTCGGTACAATTTGTTTTTCTCTTTTGTGCATTTCTGCAAGATAAACGTCAGAGCAGTCCCAGTACAATTCTTGCCCACGATTCACTTATTCGTGAGACATTTTCACTTATTCGTGAAACAAATTCACTTATTCGTGAAACAAATTCACTTATTCGTGAAATTTATTTTTTCAAAATTTGCTTTCTGACTACTAGATTCTCTGCAAAATTATTGTACTCACGAAACGGGCTTGGCTTTGTGTATTTCAACGAGATTTTGATTTGACCAGCTCCAAGTTCCCCCCCAATGCAAATTTATGTTTTGTGTCTATTCTATAACGTCACCATGAACATTGTAGCTAAAGTTTTTCAGATAATTCAGTTATTCATTCAGTTCATTGTTTCTTTCTGCTATTAGTAATCATTTCATGCGGAACTTTCTGGCGGGAATATAAAAAATCGCTGAATTTAAGCGAATTTTATATAACGGGCTCACTTTCTATTTAAAATATAACTTTTTACTTTCGTGTTCCTTTTTTTAATTTAATTTTTCCGCGTGTAAATAAATTTTGTCGATAGTGATATTGTGATATGTAAATAAAAAGCAACAACAAAGTTTCTTACACACCATTGTTTTGTCATTTATGACTTCATGTGTGACGTCTATTTAGCGATTGATTGCAGAAGTAGTAATGTTATAGCGCGTTGATAGTCTGATAATCGGCGATTGTTGGCATCGCCGGATTAAAAGTTTAAATCCGGTGCAGGACGCAAATTGCAATCATAATAGTAGATCAGTTGTTCCCAGACTGTCTATCGCAACATGCCAGTGCATTGATTCTCAAAGTGGGCCCGCAAAGCAAATTGACACCGACACAGAAGAACTGCTGTGATGGTTTTCATAAGGAAAAAAAATGTAAGAAATACACAGTTTTCTGCAAGAAGTAAAACATGAATTGCATCGAAATTTAATCCGATGTTTGTTTTCTGATGTTCCCGCCTCTAACACGTTACTCGATATTAAAACAAAATTCCGAGATAGAATAGTAACAAGACATGATACGAGAGTTGTAATGACCACAATAGAACCCCGAATAGATGGACTGGTGGAAGCCAAGCAATTGTACCCATCCCATTGAACTGTACAATGACAAGACAAGTTTATTTTTTCTAGCCAGTGAAAAACATATCACAAGCACAAATTATGCGAAAATGATTATTTACAGTTTTACTGGGGGAGGAAAGTCGCGGAACACGCAAAAAATTATTGCTCGATGGAACTTGTTTCTATTCTGTATTCTTTAGTGGACCGCGAGTCCTTGGAAAACTACATGGGCACCGTTATGCAGAATTTTTCATAAAGTTTAAGAAGCAGCATGCTAGTGACGAGCATAGATGACGAGCCACAGACCACAAAGCGGCTGTCATGTTTTTTCAGAGGCCCACTAGTAGCGAATTATTGCAAAAAGGGCCGAAATTTCAGCGATAAATAATTTGCAATTAGGCCTATCAAAAATCTACTATAGTTTCATTATACTAGTATGCAGCTGTTGCCATTAATATTGTTAGCCGAAGTGGCTCTCAAGCATTTTAAGCCGCGCCCCTTTTTTAGAATTTGTCAAGTCTTGCATCCTACCTCAAAAACAACTAGCTAACAATAAGCTGCAAATAACAGGTAGTAAGGCGAAAGTATATTTTATTCAAAAAAACACGTTGAAAATACGTGGATGGAAGTTAATAAAGAAATGAATGAAAGTTTTAAAAACAAATAAGACGTGCAAGATCAAATCTAACAAATATTTTTAATTTTATTCATAATTTTAGTCATGTTTTTCGTTTCTTAAAAGTTCATTTAATCTGGCCACAATATTGCTAGGAGGATCGTGGCATAACAATTAATTGGTGCTATTGTTAACGTTTCTTCACGTTATTTTCTCAAGTGAATCAGACATTGTCTAAGACTGCAAACGAGAATACCAGTCGGAGATCGAAGACTTATCGATCGAAACTGCGGTTTCGATTCATGACTCTATAGTGACAACGCGTGTCCCATCACTGATTAATTAATAACTCGCTAATTATACGACATAATCCGGTCCAAGATATGATGAATGCACAAGCAAAATTTGGAGTAGATTCAATCACGCCTTCGTGAGATATCGCGTGCATCTAACAGACAAACAGACAGACAAATACCTATCAACATACTTACCGATCTAATCATCGATAAGTAATAATTGAAGTGTAAAGCTCAAACTGCACAATACCAACCCAGGGTTATAAGCATTGTTGAAGTTCAAAATTTTGAGAGATATGGTAAGGCCTCTCTTTTGTGTTGATCTCACTAACAATGGGTTCTGTCTTTTCTGGAAATGTATGTATGTCACTACATGACACGCTTTCCACAAGTCCAGTGGGAAGATTTCGGAACGCCAAATAGGGCGATAGGAATTAGCTGCTATTTGTTGTAAGCTATTTATTGCGATCGTCTGACGTCCAAACATATTGGAAATTGCTAGTTTTATTTGTGTCACAATAGTTTATTTTGATAGTAGCGACAATGAATCACGATGCTGTTTTCTGCTACTGAGTTGTAGTTTTGTTTTTTACTTATCGATCTTAAGATCGGTAAGTATGTTGATAGGTATTTGTTTGTTTGTTTGTTAGATGCACGCGATATCTCACGAAAGCGAGGTTGAATCTGCTCCAAATTGAACATGTGCATTCATCATAAGTCGGATCAGAAGATCATTGATTTTGGATGGATTATTTGATATAATTAGCGAGTTATTAATTAATTAGTGATGGGACACACGGTGTCACTATGGAGTAAGACCACTGTTTTGGGGGATCCCCTAACCTTCGATCGATAAGTTTTTGGTTTTCAACCGAATTTTAGTTTTTGATATCAACGCGAAAGTGGCCATTTTTTTGTTTGTAGTTTCTCCTTTCCTTAACTAAGTTAATCGACCACAGAACTTTTGTTGAACAGAAATAGACCACAAAAAAGTTGAGATCCACTGGTCTGAAACAAGGAAAACAGCGGGTCCGATGGTTATCACGACATTCCGAGAACCTGAATCTCACCACTGGTTAAAAGACTAGGAAGGAAGACGCAAAAAAAAAGTTTCTCATCGACACAGGTATTGATTAATTCTATGACCTGCCTTATTTTTTATGATAAAAATATAGAACGTGTGACTCACTCAGTATATAAAAGCTTCTCTAGAGGAGAGCATAAGGGCAGCCGCCCGGGAAGCACGGTATATGGACGAGTTTGTTGCTTAGTTTCATGATTTAAATAATAATAATAATACAACAAACATTTCACTTTTACTTGACCTTTTATTTATTTATTCTCCTGTATAACTACATCTACAATTTGTTTATCCCCCAAATTATTTTTAGAGTCAAGTATAAGGGGCATCAATATCAGAAACGAGAATATCGGTTGGAAACCGAAGACTTATCGATCGATAGTTAGGGGATCCCCCAAAACAGAAACTGCAGTTTCGATTCATCCGCTCTTGTAACTTGCGCACTGCGCATCGCACACACACACTCGGCGGGTTTCAAAATTCTCTCGCTTTACAAAAATCTAGATCACTATATCAATAATTGATTGATAACTCGATAATTATACGACATAATTCATCTAAAATCAATAGGCTTCTGGTACGAGATAAGATGAATGCACATGCAAAATCTGGAGCGGATTCAATCTCGCTTTCGTGAGATATCGCGTGCATCTAACAGACAGACACACAGACAGACAGACATACATACAAATACCTATCAATATACTTACCGATCTTAAGATCGATAAGTAACTAGTCCGGGGGAGCAGAAAAGCTTGACTTAGCCCTGCTCTAACCCCTGCACTATTACGTCGCAAAATAATATTGTTTGAGTACCGCATATGTATCAAAGTCCCAGAAAACCAATTTTAATCTGCCCGAAATCAAAACTTGTTGAAGATTGGAAAGAGAGGTACAGCAGGCGAAATCGGATATATTCAGCAGCTTTATAATTGAACGCGCACAAGCTCAAGTAAAGCATCGATAAAATGTGCATATACAGGGTGTCCATAAAGTTGCGTTACAATTTCAATTTTGTTATGAAGTCAGTTCTCAATATATCCTAACCAGGTTTGTTGTTTTTTAATTTAATTTTAAATAGTCACTTTGACAACCACTAGCTTTTTGATCGCTGCTGGCAACGAGCTTCATTTCTTGTCGGTCCATGAACGCACAGTTGAACCCCATGAAGGCGCTGTCGCGTGTAATATTACTCTGGTGATATATATGTTGTGATTTTGTTTTTCTGTTAATTTTGATTGATTAAATTTGTATATTTTTTTGTCATTCCTTCTTAAACTTCAGCCCACAGGTGTCGCTGACTCGATGACTGTCACAGTCTTTTGCGACTCCTTATCTATTGCTATGAATCTCTCACTTGTATGAATTCTTTTGTGTATAATTAATTTTTTACGATTGTCATTGTACACGTTTGTCAATTTTTCGTGCTTTTATTTTTGTGTTGATTCTTTCATGATAGAAAAAATCATCTGAATCTGAACCTGTGAGGGCTATTATCGTGGTATCGATAAATTCCCTTGGCAATTTTAAAAAATTTCAAGACCTCATGGACACCTTATACAATTAAACGCTTCTTTATCGTGATGTATTAAAATAATAATAAAGTAAAATCATTTTTCCAACCATTGGTGGCTCTGTATCACAGAAAAAAATGCAGTTCAATATTGTTACGTTATCGCTGACTTATCGCCGATTGGTCATTGTTACGGAAATACACAAGAAAATATATGACCGGGGAAACATCTATGGGTATTTGAGTCGGAGCTGAATTCTTTTAAACTCAAATATTCATGGATGTTTCCCCGATCCTCTATTTCCTTGTGCATTTCCGGCTTGTGCCTCTTTGTCATGATGTATTGAAATAATAATAAAGTGAAATTAATTTTCCAACAAGTCGTGGCTCTGTATCACAGAAAGTTATGGCAATATTAGTTTGAAAAATTGGGAACATCTGGTGTAAGCAAATCTCAACCTCGCCGTACTGGTAGTCGTTCGGGCGCTCATGAAGTATGTGTACCAAGATGGCGCACAACCTGAACCCTAACCTGATACACATACTATGTTCAGGATGTGCGCCATGTTGATGCAAGTACTTCTGGAGTACGGTTGTTTCTTATGCGTGACTTTGCGCTGGCAAAAGTGTCAGATTCAGTTCCCGATTACGGTTTGAGCGAAATACCAATCCCAGCCTCATGAAAAAAACTTTGAAACTTGATGATCTTTGAGTTTCTGTCGAAAATTTTACCTTTGTTTATCTTCATTTGAACTGCGACTGCAGCGCCGACTAAAATTAAATGCCTACCTTTGAAACGCCTTTGGCTCCGACTCAAATAGCCATGGAATCAGATAGCATAAAAACTTCGACAACACAGCTCTGAGTAAAGAAAAAAATATGTGCGATCTGTTGGTAAGTGGATAATTTTAGCATTCAAAATTGAAAGACTTTTTAAAACGAAACGTGGGCTTAGAAATTTTGGGCTTAGAAATTTTTCACTGACTTAAACAGAGAGGATTTTAGGGGCAATTGGCCCTCAAATAAACTTCATAAACATTGATGAGAACAAGCAACCCGTCAAAAATCAACGGTGAAATGACAGATTTGGTGCGTGAAAATTTTCATCGCGGCCGCCCACGAGAGAAGCGGATAACTGTCCCACACAGACGACTCGTCATGGATAACTCATAGGATAGGATTTACATATTTATACCGGGAGAGGAAAGCCGATAAGACGGCGAAATCATTTGGCGAACCACGACCTCTTGTCTGGTTACCAGTCAATGTCGTGTATGGTATATATTTGTTAGTTCTGGCACGATTGATTCTTTCATTGGCTAAAAATAATCTTGGTTGGAATGGGTATATATATACATTTCTATGGTACTCTATATGGTCAAAAACAGTATATATGTATATTCCAAATTTTAGAATTTCAATTATTCAAAATTAGATATCAGAACTTTGGGTGTCGCTGCTCGATGACCAGCTTTGGTTCCCCACGACTTCCCTTCTCCAGTAAAACTGTGTACTTATCATTTTCTCGAAATTTGTGTTTGAGTGATTTTTTTCTTTACTAGTTGGAAAACATAAATTTGACTTGACAGTCATTTGTTTCAGATACATGGACTTGATGATAAATGGAGGAAGCTGTAACCGACCGGCGATTACATGAACTATCCAGTAACCCTCCCGCACGTAATTATCCTTCACAGGATCCGAACCTGCCAACTCACGAAGGGTAGTCAATGGTGCGATGGCGAGCCTGTTCCAGTCGTTTGGCGCCACATCGCCAAGCTGATAATGTATATCAGATGCGGTTCAAACATCCGTGTATTTGACACAAACATCTGGCCAACCACTACCAAGACATGGCTCCACTCCCAAACTAAAATTCCTGATCTTTTCAATTAGTTATTATAACCTTAGCAGCTTTGATTTCCCTTCCTCAACAAAACTGTGCTTTTCATTTCCAAATTTGTATATGATCAAGCATTCGTTTTTTTGTACAAATCCCCGCCAAAGCTCTAAGAAGGAAAAAGTAGTAATTATCCGGTTAGGGTTTGGAATGTAGATTGCACTGAAAATTCAAATTTTCCCTAACTTCAACTAGATAATTATTAAGTTGTTATTTTAGAACGTGGCGGGTGTGTTGTTCTCAATTCTCACAGTTTTGCAACAGTGGCACAGACTTTGCACAAAAGATCCGATGATTTACTCCCCAGCTGAAAAAATAAACCCGACCTGGTTTCCGGACCAAATATTAATATGATTAATCACTCCTATAGCTTCATTCTCTCCCAGAATAAATATAAAAAAAAACCTAACAAGGCCGAGTGGACGTCACTCGTGATATAAGGATGCTAAGTATGTCTACTTACATGTATTCGATTCTTATCAGATTCCTAAACTTTCAGTTCCGATTCTGGATTTCTCAACATATTTTACTGAGAAAACAGAACCACCCAAGTTATACCAGCGCGGCAGTGTGGCTCAACGGGCTAAGCGTTAGGAATACGCTCGCCATCGCACCTCTAATTACTCTGCGTGGGTTCGCAGGTTCTGTGCGAGAGGATTGCTGGACTCCTCGCCGTCGTTGGGTGGTTCACGTAACCGCTGGTCGGTTACGGCCTCCTCCACCACCAAGTCCATGCTTCCGAAAACAAACAATATAACTAATCCCATACCCGACTTGGAATGGTAACCGGACGAGAGGCCGTGGTTCGCCATATGGATAAGCCGTCTTATCGGCTTTCTTCTCCCCCGGGATAAATATGTAAATCCTATCCTACCATATAGAATCAAATAAGAGAGCGATGTTCAAATATATGGACGGACAAAACCAAGTAGTATGGGTATCCAATCTGTCACAGGAGACAAAATCGCACAAAAAATGAATCCCTCTGAACTGAGAGATTTTAGAAATAATATAAACTTGAAAGCTTTCTAACGAAAATGTTTATATATATATATAGTGAAGTTCGCGGCGTCGTATCCACTCAACATAGCAGTTTATACATATACGTAAAGAAAGTGTCACAAAACGTTACACATTGTTTGCAAGTCCCAGTTTTTTAATCTGAGAATCGATTCTAGTCGATTCCACGAAGAATCAATTCCGCCATCCCTACTCATGATTAGTACAAGTAGGAAATAGTCAAGACTTTCCCAAACAAGTGGTTTCCAACCTTTTTTTGAGCGACCTGAATTTCTTTTTCAAATAAATTTACTGAAATCTCACAACCCGAGGGCATGTTCGAATACTGAACGGCAAGTGGTACTTTTATATAAAACAATCATTTTTATGCAACATTTATCCCCAAAAATTACAAAGTGAGAATGCAGCGATTGTTCGCCATCAACAGCTTTTTAAAAAGGTGGAGTGTCCTTGCTAAGCGGAACGAATGATGCCAATTTTTTATGTCACACGTCAATACCAAGTTTATATAAACATTAAATTTACTAGAAAATTCAATTTTTAGTTTTTTTGTGAAAAAACAAGCGGCCCAAGAAAATTGCAGGTGACCCAGTTTTGGATTTCAACCCATAGGTTTGAAAACATTGTTCTGGACCTGGCTTGGGCAAACAACGGCACGCTGGCCAAATCTGGCCCATGAATAATAAATCAATTTGGCCTGCCTGATGCTGCCGCAACCAAATTTTGATGTTTCAGCTGAAAAATGGCTCAAGGAATTTACAGTTTTGGCTCAAGGCTCATTGTTTTCCACTTTTGCTTTTGTAACACTGTGAATTTTGTTCATAAAATCATTAAAAAGTAACTTTTTAGGAGGAGGCTTCGGTCCTTGATCCAAAATCCTTGCCCACACTGTTCTATACGAAGGCATGCGATTTATGCTAACTTTGAACAGTGCAAGTCCGAGTGGTGTTCATTTAGAATAACTTTATTAACAAAATTATTATTTTGAGCAGTTGATAAAAATGCCAGTAAAATTGGAAAATACGGTAAATTAAAATTTCCGTATCCCGGAACAAATATGAAAACGCCATCTCAGTAGCATTTTTTGGGCTTCCAGGCCAGATCCTCACAATAGGCACACTGCTCGTGGCTCTGGAGTACCCAGTACCCACACAATTTTTACCCACTGTGTAAGGTGGGGGACATGGGATTTGGTCCAAGGTTGTCAGCTTCGGGAGCCACAAAAATATTTTTGCATCGTTGGCGGGCCACAATAGTACCAAGAATAGGTAAACAGTGAAAAATAAAACAAACTTTTATTGTGCAAACATATTGACAATATTTGTCATTTATAGAAAGCCAGTTAACAATTTAGACTAGCCAAGCATATCATATAACTTCGCTAGTTGCCTCAGCTAGCCATAACACTAGTCAATTCAATGACATTTGTGATGTAACAATGCGTCAAAAGATTTTTCTGGTTTATTTTGTGATGAACCAACACAAGCTGCAGGCCACTTGTGGCCCACAGCCTGGGGTTGGACCACCCTAATCTAGATCACAGCGTCCAAAATCATAATGATTTAGTTAAAACCGGGATCCTCACAATTCAGCTTTGCTTACATATTTTATCACATCTTGTGTGGACTTATAGGCATAAAACAAAATCTCAAGATTTCCAACCCACATTCTCGTAACCGTCATCACCATGCATTTGCGCTGCAGCCTTGTACAATCCTTTTCTCTGAAGCCTACGAATAGTTTTCAATTTTTCTACATCTTTGAATTGTTGCTGAGTTTTTGCTACATCAGAATCATAAATTTTACGAAAAATTGTCGCAGCATCATAATGTAAGAGACTACCTTGTACACTGTTAATTATTTCATCCCGTTTTTCCGATGATAATTTACTGACAACGTTTCCGTAAATTGTTCGTGTTATTTCACTTTTCATGGCGTTTTCACACCAAATTCCAGCTATCGAGTGTGCAGTTGTTTTTAACGCTTCCTCGTCCCAGCGCCAATCGATGTCATCGCTGCTATATTCAGAATCGTATAAAATTAACGGACTCGCAGAGGCGGATGAATAACTTGGTCTTCCTTGTGTATTTTCAATGTCTAGTAATCTTTCAATAACCGATGGATCTTCATGACCGTTACCGATTAAACACAAAACCGATACCATGAAACGAACTTGTCTATATAAAAACCCAGAACCAGTGACTGTGAATTGACAAATATTACATTCTCGAAGCGATGAATTTGACCTTGGAAGTATTTCAATGTCAAAGTTTTTAATTTGACGAACTGTTTGAGATTCCATATTGTCTGCAGACAATTTTGCAAAATTTATAAAATCGTGTTCGCCAACTAATTTTTTCGCGCACTTTTTCATAAGGTTAACATCGAGTCCACCTAGTGGTACAAAATAACGATACGTCCTCGATAAGCAGCTCTTTCTGGGAGAAAAACCTTTGCTGACAGGAGACCACGCCAAGACTCTGATGTCCATTGGAAGAGCTTCATTCAAAAGCTTAATGTAAGGAATTTCCTCAGAGTCTCGAGATTTGTCTGAAATATCGTAATCATCCCAATTTTTCTCTTCAGTGGTTTTGCCATCAATGATATTCATTGGTTCTGAAAAAAAGAATGAAAATCAATAAAACAACATTTTAATAATCAAAGATGAGCTGAAAAAAGAATGAAAATCAATAAAACAACATTTTATTAATCAAAGATGAGAAGACATCAGGACAGGACTGCCAAAAATGTTGTATCCCACTTGCCTCACTTGTTTTGTCAGAGTATCATATCTAAACTGACCCATAACAAAGAATTAATTCCACTTCATATGCTTTTCAAACCATCTATTAACCTGACAATATATAGGGTGTCCATAAAGTCTTAAAATTTTATAAAATTGCAAAGGGAATTTATCGATACCATATATTGTTTTGGCCCTTGCAGATGTAGAAATGAAGTAAAAATACTTAAACAATTACTGATAAAAGAACAACAAACTTGGTTAGAGACACTTAGAGTATATCGAGAACTGACTTTATAACAAAATTAAAATTGTGATGGAACAGGCATGGGATAAGCAGAACAAGCGTGCTACGCATGCAACTATATGCTAGACAAGTGGGACACTTTTGAGATACAATAAAGACTTCTTGTTGTTGTAGGGTGGTTCAAGTATGGCCAGGCATATGGTATTATAAACTGGTTAATTATTCCCATGCTCAACATGGACTGGTGACTGGACAAGAGGCCATGGTTCGCCCTATGATGAATATCAAATTGCATTGCTCTTACTAGAGTCTTATATCAGGGTTTCCTGCGGCCCCCTGCTTGTGATTCCTATTTTTGACGAACCCCAATCCTGTGTCGTGTCAATTTGTGTGCCTAACCCATAAGGAAGGATAATAATGCCTTTAGTGGCATAAAACTCATGAAAGTCTGAATCAATGCGTACTAACATTAAATTCTGCCAGGCTAACGGCAATTCGATAAGATTATGATCTATTTGTATATGTCTCAGACTTATTTAATATTGTTGCCTACCCCCTATGCAGTCATCACGAACCCCAGTTTGGGAAACCCTGCTTTATATAATATTTGCTAATGATATGCCAGACCAGGAAGGTCCAGTATTTTCAGTCAGATAATTTGGAGGAATCACATATTTGTCCCCGGGGAGAGAAAATCCGATAAGACAGCTTAATCTTATGGTGAACCATGGCCTGACATTCGATTACCAGTCGATGTCGGGTACCGGATTAGTTAGCCAGTTTTTTTCGGACGCATGGACTTGATGGTGGAGGAAGTCATAACCAACCAGCGGTTACTTGAAACACCCTATGAGGGCGAGAAGTCCAGCAATCCGCTCGCATATAACTATTCCCGCAAATAATTTCTCCATTTTTCTACTTTTCAAAACTTTGTCCCCAGTTAAAATTACAAAATGAAATTCAAAACTCACCATTAATTTCTTTATTAGAATTATTCCAGTTCTTTTGGCCCCAAACCCCATAACCATGGTCCATGTTAGAGCGAACATTGACACAAATAACCTGGCCAAGGCCACTAACATTTTTGTCAGTGCGGCCACAGCGATCAAATTTATTTTTGTATGAAAGTTTTCGAACAAGTTGTTGCCTTAGCAACGCTTCCATGAAGACTCTTTCCACCACATTGGTATGACCTTTAACCCCTCTATCAGTATTATCACTCCAAGCATATCCCATATAGTCCCAACCGAGATAGGCCACTTTGAAAGCGACACGACGTAGGTTATAATCATAGTGATCTACTATGTCTTCAATATCTGGGTGTTCCACGCGGATTTTGTCTCGACCGTCAACATTATTAATGCTTTTCATAACTGTATAACTGTCAATTTGTCTTTGCATTCGGATAATTTTATACACGAGTTGTGATTGTTGTAAATTGAATAAGTATTCATAATCATACGAAGCTTTATTGTATCGTCTTAAAGATTCTTTGTGTGCCTCAAGCTCTTCTTTTGTTTCGAAATTGCCATTTTTTTTTCGGCAAAAATTCCATGAAATCCTTGTTTGAAATTTCGGTTTTAAAACAAGATGCCGCCATTTATCAAAAATATTCATATTTACTATATTTCTAAATTATATAAAGTTGGAATTCAATACACGACAATCCAATATGATTTGCTTTTTAATATGAGGAGAGGAAACAATGATATGAAGCAATCATATGGCAAACCACGGCCTTTCGTCCGGTTATTATTTCATGTCGAGTATGGAATTAGTTAGACAGGTACCGGTACAGTATTTGTTTTCGGAAGCATGGACTTGATGGTGGAGGAAGCCGTAACGACCAGCGGTTACGTGAACCACCCTACGGCGGCGAGGAGTCCAGCAATCCTCTCGCACATGATCATCCCAGCATGGGATTCGAACCTGCGATCTCACGAAGGGTACCGTAATCATAGATGCTGTGGCGAGTGTATTCCTAACGCTTTGCACGATGCGCCACACCGCCGAGCCAAAATATCTGAATATCGCACCGGTACGCGGTACGGTACCATACCGATAACATGACTATAAAACAAAGATTTAAATTTTTGGTTAATGACTAATGATACAACCGTTACGGTAAGTTGAGATCATCACAGTCAGTTACGGTACCGGTGCCCTGGTACCACACAGCCACAGCAGCACAGTGACTTCCCACTGATATCAGTACGGACGAGTGGCCGTGGTTCGACATATGATTAAACCGTCTTATTGGCTTTCGTCTCCCATGGGATAAATATGTAAATCCTACCCTATAGTACCGTACGGCACCGTTACCGTACTGCAGTAGTGTACGGTTACGGTACGGTATAACTGTGTGCTTGAGTTGCCGCGCACCACAGCGCTGTTCCCACGTTGTTTTTTTGGTGTTTGTTTGTATAAATTGCAATCCATTGTAGGAGTCTAATATTACCGGATTCACTGTTTATTAATAAAAATAAAAATGATTGGAATCTGGAATCAAATACGGGGCGAGATGTAATTTTTTTAAAGACGGCAAATTTGTTAAGATGTCGAACAATAGAAACATTAAAACCTTTCGAGAAAGATTCTGCGGTTGTATTGAGTTCATGGTTTTAGAGTTGGTAACTGAGAATTGAATTTTAAAGACCGGATGAAACAAATCAATTCAGCACAGAGGGATCAAACGACCTATTTCAGTGAGCGGAAACGGATAGGATATTTAAGAAAAAGGAATTCGACGAAAGGGCTTAAGCCACGGCCGCTCGTCGGCTTACAACTAGATGTCGGACATATCAATATTGGTTTTTCAGGTGTATGGGCTCGATGGTGAAGAAGGCCGTAGCCGACCAGCGGTTACATTAACCACCCTACATCCGCAAGGAGTGCAGAAATCCCATAATTATTCCGCATGGGATTCGTACCTGCGAACCCACGCAGAGTAATCAGAGGTGCGGTGGCGAGCGTATATCACGAAAAGCCATTATTTCCAACGTTGCCCTTTACTATCTTCAAAGCTCATAGCTGTTTTCCTATCCAAGCGTACTTGTCCTGCTGCAAGACTCACGTTAATCGGTATTTGATAACGAGTAGTTAGTTATTGGACAAATGAGAACAAGATTCAAATAATTTATTTTCGTCGTGCATGAAACATTGTAAACACGCCTATAGATCGCTTTTTTATTATGTTGTTGTTCTTGTTGGTATTTTTATTCTTGTTTTTACCTGAAAGTGATGACCACTTGGTACAAAATATTTGTGTCGGTTCTTCGAACTCTCTCGTGATACTGTTGCTCAAATAGCTCATTTTGCTTCAAAGTGAGTGCGTTCAACTTTGATTTGGGCAAATTTTCTTATAAAAAATATCGGAGTGAAGATCAGTGTTGGAAGTTTGAATCTTTTATAGCCTCCGCCGCTAATACAAAAATGTGACATTTGAGAAAAAACCCACCACGTTTTAAAATAACAAATTGGTAGTTATCCAGTTGAATTTGAAGCGTAATCTTCATTCCTAATTTTCCTATTTTGAGTGTTGTCGGGCAATTTGGCGGGGGCTTCCTACAAAAGATTCAAATTTTCTAAAAAAGATATATCGGATCGAGACTCATAAATGACTCATAGGCTACTCACCTAACAGTCATTGAAACACTGAGACTTAACTCAGTGAATCGAATTCGGACTCTGATGACTCGTGATTAGGGCTGGGCATTTTTGAATACTTTGAGACAGAGAAAGAGAGAGCTTATTTTGTTTTTTTCCGCCAGAAAACATATACACGACAAAGCATAAATGCAATAAAATATAATTGAAAGCAAAAAGTTCTCGGTAGAAACTGGGTGGCAACTTGATGTTCTCCGAATCTAAAATTTATTTTATTTTTTAAAACGAATCTCGACAGCTCAGATTCACCTCGACCTTTGGCGGATAAAAAATATGGGTAAATTTATTTCTGTAATATTGTTGATACTTATGAACTTAATGAATGGGATACTGCTTGAATTCTCTCTGTTAAAATAAGTTTATTTTTATCATCAAAAGGTAAGACAGGTAACAAGTGGTTCCCAGTCTTTTATTGCTCCCCTCCGAAGGCTTTTGGAAATTATAGCCATCATGTGCATTGGTATTTCGGTATTTTGATTGGTAGATTCCAAATTCCATTATGTTCAAACAATTCGTGCTCAACAAAGTGAAAACATATTGTGAAACAAGAGAGCTATGCTCAAATATATGGCCACGTAGAGTCACATAATTTTGATGACGTCATAGCAAAAAAAAAAGTAATAACCTTTTGGAGAAAATTTTTATCTTTAACCACTGAAAATTTCAAAGCAATTGGTCCAGTATTCAAAGAGGAAAGCGGTTTCTTCAAAACGTGTTGACGAAGACAAATAATAATAATAACAATAACAACAAAATTTCGAAACGATCGTTATGTCCACTACGTGTCCAACAAGACTATTGCACCACAGATTCAATAACAACAACTATGTAGTGCATACAAAATTAGTTACAAGATGAAATTTATGACAGCATCAGGCGGGCAAAATGGAATCACCCGGCGGGCCAGATTTGACCCACAGTCCGCAGTTTGCTCATGTCAGCTTTATACTCTAAAATGCACGTAAATCATCTCTTGATTATTTCGAGTCTCCTAGTCATTTGACTCTTCGTTAATTGCAATCAATCAATTTGCCTGTTTGTATTGAACTTAGGAATGAGTTTGAAGGCTTAAAAACACCGATATTGGGGTGGAATGTGTATTTATTGCAATACGTTTCAAGATTTTGTAAATAACATAAATACTGGTAGAAAGGTGATAGGGTCCTAATTTCCGACGCTTTTTAAAATAAAAGGAAAATTCCGGTTTATATTCTTGTTCAGAAATAAACCCAAGTTGAAACTTGAAGGCAATCTAAAATACAACTTACACATACTGCGATCATAATCTATAACAAGAGAACTAGGCTCAAATATATGGACACGTAGAGTCACATAATTTTGATGACGTCATAGCGAAAAAAAAAAGTAATAGCCTTTTGGAGAAAATTTTTATCTTTAACCACTGAAAATTTCAAAGCAATTGGTCCAGTATTCAAAGAGAAAAGTGGTTTCTTCAAAACGTGTTGACGGAGACAAATAATAACAATAACAACAAACTTTTGAAACGATCGTTATGTCCACTCCGTGTCCAATAAGCAATGAAACTAGGAAAAACGTCGAATTTTCTTGTAAAGGAAGAAGTAAAATCAGTCTTGTGCCTAGTATTGTGGCCCTCTCGAATAGCTCTACGGCCCCCGGTTTGGAACAGATGCTATAAACATTTCTTATTGGCTTACCAACATTGTATCATAGAAAAATTCACTTTGAGGATTCGAAATTCTCATCTGAATCGACTCCAACAATTTGCAATTCGATTCGAAATGCTCAGCCCTACTCGCGACTCGGGGTGCAGGACAAGCCACGGTTAAGGTATGAAAATATCTCATAAACACTGGCTTAACGATCTACTCTACGCAGAAGCGCGCACTGACTCACTCGCTATCAGGAAATCTATCATGAGAATTGGAAACCTTCATGGCGAGTGACGTCAAAACAGTGTTCCCTACATAACATTTTACCTAAATATAAATAATAGAGACATTGTTTGAAAACAATAAATTCTCTGTGTATCATAATATACGAGTTTTGTATCCTAAAAAATATAATTAAACATATTTGGGAAGTGAGTAAAATATGTCCGCATTATATTATTTTTTATAGGGAACATTGTGGCTATTTGCTTACTTCGTTATACCAAAGTAAAAGAAGGAAGTCGATTATTACTATTATGATTATGCAGTTTGATATTATAGACTTCGTGTAGGCTTAGAATTTGAAAGATTTAGTTTTGTTCAGCAAATGAAGCGTTTAGCTGTAAATAGCGAACAGTCGTTACCAGTACAGTGCAGTAATGCATCCACAAGTGGTAAGCAGATAAGGATATTGGTTAGTCAACGTTTTGAAAGTCTATATCAGTGGTTCGCAACCTTTCATGGCTGGACCCTTTCGGCGGGTTTTACTAGCACTCATGGCCACCTGTTCATCATTCCAGTGGTATTTATAGTGTAATTTTTCTATACAGTCAAACTTCAATACATTTTTGAAATACGTAAATTTAGTTTTAATTATCCAATGATATTTCTTTCCCATAAGACAATTAAACTATTGCTCAGGGGCAGCGCCGGATTGAAACTCTAAATTAATTAATTACCTGTAGGTGCACGGTACGACAAGTACTTTGTTTTTCGAATTCGTGTCCATATATTTCAGCATACCTTTTGTTTATTTTTCAGTTTCTGACATTTCGTGGGTTTCAAGGGTCTCGATGGATTCAAGCTACAAAAAATTAATTTTTTTTACATTCCAAAAGGTCTCGATCCTCACCCAGTGGTGGGATTCAAATTTTTTGTCAGCCGGTTCCTTCACAAAAGTCATATTTTTCAGCCGGTTCTGTTACAAACAGAACATTGACAGTAACCAGTAATGCTAACGGGTTCGCTGATCTCATAAAATTCCGAGAGACGGTTCTATAGAACCGGCTCAATCCCACCACTGCCTTCACCCCCGTGGTTCTGACCAACCCTGCTCAAAACAACTCGTGTGGAAAATTACTTTATTACCAATAAATTCGTTATATGCTATTATTTATCATTTTTACGAGATAAATCTTGTGTAATTTACTGTTATTGTGATTATATTACCCATCTATCCATTATATTGAATTTGTCTCCGAATTGTGTATAATATTGTCTGTTTATAACTGCAAAAAGGACCCAAATTTTCGGACCAGTTTGAATAAAATGATTCTATGAAGGGCGCATATTGTTTGTTTGTCTTTTATTTACACCAGGGTTGGGTTTGCAACTTTTAATACAGGGTGTCAGATACAAATGACAGGGTGAAACCGCTGGGCGCACCTTTATTTGACATAAGCTTTCTAGTAGTTGCATGCACAAGAAAGCAATGTAACGTCATAGGCATAGATAATAAAGTGGACCGATATATAGCCTTTTCAACGCACATGGATTAGAATCACTGGCACGTACCAGGATAAACTAAATTAAAAACGTTTCGAGGGCCGCAGATCATTGAAAATTGGCTCATACCCGCGGGCCGCACAATTTTTTCTTGCGGGCCGCAGGTTGCACACCCCTGAATTCTACACATTTTCTTTCGATATTGGTCATATTCAAATGACCTCTCAGTGAAATGTCCTGTCAGGGATGAGAAATCATTGCCCTATTCTCAATTTTAATTTTTGAACACCTCGGAATCAGGGTTTAAAATTCCTACAAAATCGAAATTGCCCACAGACACTAGCAAAAACTCATCAATGATAAAGTTACAAAAAGGGCGTATATTCTAACACCGTGTCTATATTTTTGGAAATTTCATATTTCTTTGCGAAACATAAACTCAAACAGGTCCAATTCCAGGCTTTAATATTATCATTTCTAACGTACTTCCTTTTACGTCCGGAACTCCATCATGATGAGTCTGATCAGATTAAACCCAATCGATCACGCAAGGTACTGATATTATCCCAAGATATAAGCAATCCTCATTATAACTTTCATGTTTGGTCTATCTTTACGTGGGGTTATAAAATACTACAAAGTTTAATGACTTTATACTATTTAGATGGCAATGATTCAGAATGATTTTTAGTACAGCTATAGCAGTGGTGAGATTAGACTTTAGTGATCGTTTTATTCATTTTTTTAGAAGTTAGACAATCACAGAAAATTGGTAATGCGCACTGCAGCTGGCGATTAGCCCTTAATTTTTAATTTCTGAAAGTATTCATGTAAAGTTTGTCATGTTATATTAGCCAAGGAGTGACATATATTACTTAACATGATGTTTAAGTTGTTTTCATTGTATGTTACGTTCAGCGAATCTTGTTTCAGACCTTGGGCAACCGCAGTTAGTGGTTAATATAAATTGTAGCTGACGATTGGGGTTATAATTATGAATTTCTGAAGTTATGTATCCAATTTCTGTAAAGAGAAGCTGTTGTTAGTTCGATACAAAACGGAACCTGTTCATAGTTTTCATTGAACATTTGTGAATGCAATGCAGTTGCTTGCTACAGTGCCGATATGAACTGATGTGGCAAAAAATACGTCTATGAGTAGAACAAACCTATGCCTCCAGAAAACAGAACTATAGTTATATATTATTAACATGTTGAAATACGGCCATTTGCCGGCGGATCTGTGGCGAACTGCTCAGTGACGTGAACTAGTTATTTATTTCTTTTGTGGTAAGAACGAAATAAGATTGGTCTTAACCAGGGGGTGAGCAAAGTTTTTGAACCAGGGGCCAATAATTTTGCCTACCTAGTCTGGCGGGCCATGTAATTGTGACGCAAAACGTTACATTTTATGAACAGTATTTACAGTGTTACAAAGCAATGGTGGAAAACAATAAGCCTTAAGACAAAAACTAAATTTAACCGCAATCCCAACAAATTTCTTGAGCTATTTTTAGCTGAAACATAAAAATTTGATTTCAGTTTGGTTCTGCATCAGACGGGCCAGATTGAATTACTCAACGGGCCGGTTTTGTCCTTTGGGCCGTACTTATTAGTCACAGATAAAACGTAAAATGAGGGCAAATTAGATGTATTGTATTAGTTTTGAAATTAACGATACCCTTCACAAAATGAACAACCTGCCGTAGTAGAAACTAAAAAAAGAAACTGTTAGAAATTCAGAATTTCATATTGTAATTGCTTTCGCCGTTTTATTGTTTCGATATAAAGTATGAGTATTTCATTGTTGCAAAATGAATACGATTGGAGTTGGCGAACTATTTTGATTCTTTTGCCAATACTCAAACACGAGCCACATCTGTAAATTTGAGAGAAAAAAAGGGTCTAAATTCCAATGCAATTTTTTTGAATAATTTTTTAGTTCTGCTTCACAAAACATAAGTATTATAATTCAGTTCTGTTTCCTACTTGGGACTATAAATGGCGGCGGTGCGGTATATTCTGTTGGTTTTATTCGCAGGTAAGAGCAATAACATATTCGATGACGCATAAAATGTAGGGAAATAAATTTGAATTCCTTCTACCGATTGAGATTTGACAAAAATTCTAAGTACGAATTACCAAAACAAATTACCTCCGTATTCCCGCGATATCGATTTTTCTTTCTTATAGGAGCACTACGGCAAGCATTCAGCCAATGTGATAATACTTCACTGGTTATAAACGAAGGGAAAGACAAGATTCTGTCTCCGAATTATCCCCCAAACGAATACGGAAAATCAGCTTCATGTTCTTGGGAGTTCCAGCCTTCGATAGATGGAAAGAATTACAGTCTCAGTCTGACGATTGTTTATCAACGACTTTATTTCGTTGTCGGACAAAGAAGCGATAAAGATTGTTCGGGGAATTATTCGCTTTTTATAAACAATGGTATGTTGGTGATATACAGCACATTAACTTTTCTATATTGAACACGCCATCAAATGATATTATGATGTCACATTTATTATGACGTCGCAATTTCAGCATAATACTAGCTAGCACATGTTGTAATCTTATGTCACGTTTTAAATCATGTCGTCATCCATTATGTATTATGACATCATTATTTGACTAATTTCCTATTATGAAGTATTTCATAAAGAATATATTACATTTTCTGATCACAGACTTCAAACACAATATTGTTTTTATAGATAAACAAGACTGTGAAAGATACATCTCTATCGAGAATCCAAAATACGTTACATTGATGTTCTATGATTCTAACTCATGTGGCGCTGGATCTCCCCATCAACCATTCTCCCCGGCCGTTACAGTTCGGTATACTTCTAAAGGATTGTTTACCAGTTCGAATCAAGTTAGTATGGGATTCGAAATCCAATACAAGTTTACCGAATGTATTGAAGGTATGTCTTGGGTTACTGAATTTTAAAGTGATATTGTTATTCAAATTTCATTCTCAACTTACATTCGCAAATATTATTTGACCAGCTTCGATTGTGGGTTAGGACGTGGACTGTAACTATGTCGCTACAAATTTACCGAATGTTTTGAATGTATGCTTTCGGTTACCTGGGGATATTGTTTTTTAAATTAAATGAATATATTAGAATGGATATTTATGAATTTTCATTCCATTTTCAACTCACATTCAGTCAGTCAGTAGTTTATATTTCACCAAAATGAAAATGATGCAAACAAAAACTAGTAAAGACCATGAAAATGGCATTTCACGGTGAAGGGTTGACGCGAATAATCCAATGTTGGTTATCGAGCAGCGACACGACCCGTGATAAAAGTCTAACTTGGTTCAAGTTGAACAGGAAGATGGCGCATAAATATGTGTGATTAAAAACATGTTATTGACAACATTGATCCAATATAACGTGTTTAAATACCATGCCAGCCACCTCTCCCAGAGTATAATAAATTGGGTAGGAAATTCCGAACCGGAAATAATCTGGTCGTTTCAAATGGTGGTAGCTCGTTATGTCGCATGGCTGCGTGTACAGATCTAGAAATAAAATTTAATAAAACGCCGTTGAAATAATCGGCGCTCCGAAAGTGTGTGTACCAATATGGCGGAAAATAATTTTGTTCGCCTACTTTATATCAAGTTGTGTAAAGGAAATGGAATCTATAGACACGGGGTATTTTCACATGGCTTAACACAGACAGTGCCCAAACTCGTAATAGAACTAAAATAAGGAAAATCGAAAATAAAATTATTGCATAATCCTAACCTGACACACTACGGGAGTACCAAAAATCAGGGCTACGGCGACGAAATTTTACATAATTCCTTAGTGTTGGATGCTCTTTGAAAAACAATTTTTTATTTAAATAGTCCACATTAATAAAAATAATCAATTCCCTTTTTTTCTAGCAACGACACTTCACCCGACAACTGTTGTACCCAAAACTACTTTTATTGAAACAACCACCATGGAAGAAACTACGACTTACATGTTGGAAACCACTGCGACAGGAACGACAAGTGAGCCTAACAGACTTGTAGTTATTTGCCACGATTTGAATTCCTACCTATCCAGAGTCGAGGGAGGCCAATGGGATGAATTTTAGGTACTCCTATAGTATGTGAACCAAGATGGCGGACACCGGAACGTAGTATGTATACCAGGTTAGGCCATAATTTCAGATACAAATATTACGGGAGTCACTTACCTAGTCTCCGAACTTGTAATAGAACTAAAATGAGGAAAATTGGAATAAAATTATGGTCTAACCCTAACCTGGTACACATACATTCCGGTGCCCACCATCTTGGTGCACATACTTCTGGAGCGCCATTCAAAGGGCTATTTTATGACCCCTCGTTAGCATTTAATGTTGCCAATAATGCACTCACTTCGACATCCTCTAACTTGCAAATAACTTGAAATCATGCCAATACATACAAAATGTATTCTGTATACAAAACTGATTTAGAGCACGCACTTCGACAATGATTTACACATAAAACAAATTCAAAATTTATCAAATATATTGCAGAACCTGAGACACAATCGACAATAAAAGTGACAGAGAAGCCTACTATATCTCAAGGTAAGTTCGGTATCAGAAAACGGTGCAGTGTTTCCCAACTTATCGGTTGCGTCTGAAAATTTTATTGCTTTTTTCTCAAACTGCAAGTTACTAATATTATTTTCTAGTGAATTTCATAGTTTATTTTATATTTGGTATGGAATTATTGCTAAATTGTATATATATGTGGGTTGTATCACAGCGTGAAAAATTTGTAACATTTATTTTGTTTTGGTTATTTTGTTCAAATACCGTCACACCACTATTCATCTCTTTCACTTTGTTTTATTTTAGTGTTTTAATTTTTTAGTCGGGCATAATGGTACTACTACATACCGTTTAGTATAAGCACATTCTTAGGTCGCGATATTTTACTAGTTTGAAAAAAAGTTGGCAACCACTGTTATAAAGTACTTTATCCTACTCGTTTTAGTCTTTCAAAATTTAATTTGTCACAACCCTTCATAAACCTCTTGTTCACTGTTTCATTTCAATCTTAAACACCTTATAAAAGAGTTTTCATATCGACAGGGACGACAACTAAGGCTGGTACAGGCGATACTAGGTCAACTAAAGGTCTGAGCACGACAACGGTCCTGTTCCTCGTCTCTATTCCAGGGTTTATTGGAATCATCATACTGATTGCGTCTGCGATTATTTATTACCAAGGGAGAAGGTAAGTCAAACATATACCTCCCAACGTTAAATATGTAACGTCAAACGCATATACACGCTCATATACAAATGAAATATCTGAATCTCACTCTGCTTGGCAATGAGCTACTATAGTAAATATTTATGGCTGCGAACCATCTAGCTATTTTTATTGCGCTTTAGCCGCTAGGATATTGCGTCCACATCGAACATCTCAAAACGTTGATAAATACAAAATCACATCGATGTATTCGAATTTTAGAAGATCTGCTGCGCAACGTTTATACAACAACGATGGGGTGGGCATGGAAGAAATCAGACAAGAGCAAAGTCAAGAACAAGGAACCGATGATGGTAAATGCTGAATGGAATTGTTATATAGAACAAGTATACGCACAAATAAATCCTTTCTAACTTACCGAAGTCGAGTTTTCAAACCTCCAATCGTTCAATGGTGATAATCATTATCAAAATTGAAAAAAAACCTCTATTAAGCGTTCTAGTCTAATAAAAAAAGCTTTTTGGCAAAAGTTGAAGTCGGAGTCAAAATTTACATCGATCCGGCGTCGGGTGCCGGACTGAGAGTCAAAATACTTACAGTTACAACTTCGAGTCAAGGGTTGAAGTTGGTTTATTTTCAACCAAGGTCGACTGTAACATTGTTCGGCGCCCCAGACGTATGTGTACCAATATGGCGGTAACTAATTTTGTTCGCCAATTTTACATCAAGTTGTGTAAAGGGACTTAAACCTTTGGGCAGGGGGTATTAATTTAGCTGACATCACAGACAGTCCCCGAACTCGTAATAGAACTAAAATAAGGAAAACTTTGTTAAATTTGCCCAGGTAAATCGAACTATAAACACATATAAATTCATGTAGATTAAACCAAAGGGTCATATGCATTGTTTTTTAAAAATGAAAAAATGCACTGGTTTAACCCCCCAATGATATTTGATCTGGCAGAAAAATTTGAGGCATTAATAAGATTATTGATACATTTTTATCACGTGTATTTATATTCACAGGCAAGGAACTGCAGCCAGAACCAACTGAGCCATCTGCGCTTTATTCCACGATTGAAAAACAAACGTAAGATGACGCTAATAGGTCGGTACACATTCGAATGCGAAGAGCAACCGACTAAAAAGTCATTATGAAAGATATTAACGACTAGCGTATTTAGCTAGTTCAACAGACTATGTAGTCGTTTTCACGTATTGAATTTAATGAATGTCATGGCGTCACATTTTGTCACGGCGTCATTTTCCAATTTATTTACTTTAATGCCCCTTAAAACTCATAGAGAGTGTAAATACCACGTCTGAGCAGTTTAGCAAATTTATACCCGGGTTCAAACTATGAAACAATTAAAACAAAAGACCCGCTTCTCGCTTCCAACTCCGGGTTGACACAATTTTGACTCCGACTCCAAACTATGAGAAAACCAAATTTTGATAACAAAAGATCTTGCGTATGGACGATTTCTCTAATTGTCTGTGGAGAATGTTTGATCGAAAATCTTAAATTCGAATATCAACATTTTAGTCTGATATTCCGACAAAGACTCACCAGAGTTTAAAATGGCGACTCTAGCTCCGGATCTAATAACAACAAATTATTCCAAAATCATACTCACAACTCTTGGTAATACTCTGTAATAAGTATAACAAACTCGAGTTGTTTGACAACATAGCATTTCACAGTAATCGCGCCCATATATTTTGTGTTGCTACGCTTTTACTTATCTATGCACTATATGACAAAATTTTATTTCGTATTCAAGAGAATTATAACAAAAATGGTTCGAAATGTATTCTCTTGTTTGCAAATTTTCTCCCAATGCAGATTAAATTTAACTGAGACTGAAACCCCTTAACGCTTCAACATTTCATTTTTAGCCGCTCCAGAAGTGTGTGTACCAATATGGAGGTATATAGTTTTGTTTGCCTACTTTACATCAAGTTGTGTAAGGGGACTGAAGCCTATGGACAAGGGGTATATTCACTTGGCTAACACAGACAGTCCCCAACCTCGTAAGTCGTAATAGTACTAAAATAAGGAAAATCGGAATGAAATTATGACCTAACCCTAACCTGGTACACACACTACGGGAGTACTAATTTTTCAACTTGACCTTCCTAGATGCCTGTTGTTTCAAGTTCAACTCAGATTTCGAAATATAATAACAGATCGCAAATTTTACGCAAACCTAATTCTAAACCTCAGTTCCACACACAGTGATATTAACAGCCCATTGTGTCCAAATACTTGACTGTTGCTATTTTTATGTGTTTATACTTATTTATGCACAATATATAATCTTTCAGGAAATTATACACAGAAAATTTTAAAATATTTTTCTTGCAGTTTTAGTTGCAAAATGTACGCCCAACCGAGGGACCACTTTTTAAACTCTATTAGTATTACCTTATATCAACTTATATCTGACACGCTTAGATGCCCGTTTTTCCACATAAAACTTTGCTAGCTTCGAAACATTAGGACAGGGTGTGCCTCTGCGCTATTCGACGTCGGTGAACTCAAAGATCGTTGAAATGAAAAGTAATTCTTGCCCCTATACTAGCGTTGCTACGTTTTTAATTATCTATGCACAGCATGACATTATTTTATTCGTATCGCAAATTCTACTATTCCCTTAAACCTTATTATACATTATATTGTTTCCAAATTATATCTAAACAATTGTTGTTTTTCAACTCAGATTCTGATACTATCGCGTCTTGTTCTTGTATACGAGTGTTGCTCTATTGCATATTTTTTTACTGATCTATGCAAAACACGGCGTTAATTATTTGCCTTACACATATTTATACCCTTAAACATATTACACTTAATTGGGACCTCCTGAAGTATGCGCACGCAAGATGGCGCACAACCTGAACTCGGTTGTGTACCAGGTTAGGGTTCAGGTTATGCGACATCTTGGTGCGCATACTTCAGGAGCACCCTTAATTGTTTTCAAAGTATATTGAGTTCCCTAGAGACCCGTTGTTAGACAATAAATTTTGCTTATTCCAAATTATTGCGACGAAGTGTGAATTTTACGCTGATCAAATACTGTAAGCTTAGTTCCACACACGGTGATAGTAACGCTCCGTCGCGTCGTGGATTGATTTGGGTGTCACTGCTTGGTTCGCCGAGGCTTCCCTTCCCTAGTAAAATGTGTATCTCATTTTATTCTTTTAAACATTGCATGTTATTTTTTACTGGATGACATATTAAACTTGACTATGTTATTTTGTATATATTCTTTACATTTATCTTTGCACAATGTGACATTTATTTATTCGTTTTCCGGAAAAATATATTCGCAAGTCGTAATGTTTCAAAATGTGCTTTCTTGCCTCCGAAATCATACCCAATGCAGGTCAAAAATACTTCCGGTTGAGAACCCCTGTCTTAAAGCCTATCCTATTAACATTGATTTTAAAATTATATTTGGATAGTTGCCATTCTTTAACCCCAAATTTGGTAATTTCGAAATATTGTGACACAATGTTGAACTGACTGACCCCTACCTCAACCTAATTCACTCACAAAGCCCGATATAAGACCCAATTTGCTGATATCAAAATAGTGGTACATCGTGTAAATTACTTTAAATCGACTTGGAACAACTTACCATCGCTTAAAGAAAAAATAATTTGGGCCTTTGTCGCAAATTTTACCTGCTGCTTTTTTTGAGCCTCTGTATATGTATACAATGTAAAATACCCTTCATAATTTACCTCGCTCTAATACACACCACTAGGCAGACGTTCAAAATTTCCAACGTAAAGGATGGCGGCATTTTTCGGCATTTTTTATTCTCAGGAGTTATGGTTGGGGACAAAACTGCACAAAAAGCCGAATAGGTTCAAGGAGCACAAAAAGTCTTGCTCCTGCACGCACTAAAGCAATAATGTAAAATTACTATCACAGTTGCAGAAGTCTTTGGCCTGTATACCTCTTTCTAGGAGATTGAATATTTTCATTACAATAGTCGCTAAATTACTCCATTTGGAACAAATAACTTTCCCGTTTAAACGTTCAGACGTTCCTATTCTCACTGCTTCTGGACTAAACCAGAATTCTCTCGTTTATAGTTGCCAGAACAATACACAAATTATGGCATGGCGAAATGAAATATAAAGCGACATTACCTCCAGATTAAGAATCCTAGCGACCGTGTTCGCGTAAGATTTGATTTAGTAAAAGATATAATTTTGAAACTTACTAATAAAACATAATAAATGTAAATTCCGCGACAATGCTAGATTGCAAGTCAGCAAAAACTTGGCAATTCCTTCACACCTCCTCCATATTGCTACTTATTTGCTAGGAATAGATATTATGATATAACTTTATCAACTCATTCTAATTATGACATCTTAATCTCACACTAAATTAATCAGATGCACTGCCGGAACAAGATTCACATTCGCATTATGTTCGTAGTGAAAGGTGGACATCAAGCCAGCTATTTCGAAATTGATTGTACACGCTGGAACTAAAACAAATCTACGAGTAAATAAGTTTTAATCAGATCGATGACTAAAGTCTGATCAGGGGCATCAACGGGCACTCGGGCGTGTTTACTGAATAAGGTGACAATTTAACACCGAAAATAAACACCGTCAAACTGACGGTAAATACACTTCAACATGTTCAAGTTGATATATACGTGTACATCGACGAACAAGAGTTATATTTTCCTCAGATCCAAGACTGTGTCACGGATCATAATTAGGCTTACCATATGTTCTGTTTTAGGCGGGACAGTCCCACTTTTCAACGTCTTGTCTCCGCGTCCCGACCGGTTCAGCCAAAAGTCCCCCAAAAATATGGTAACCCTTATCATAATGTCAGTGTTTATGTTGTTTATTTATATTTTTATGTTTATATGGTTACCCCTCATTCAATGTTAATGCTGTTTTGTTGGGTCTGAGTATTGGGGTAACATCCGAATTTGCGTTATAAAACTCCGGCCACCCATCACATGTGCGAGAGAAAATATCTCGTATTCTCCGGTCGCTGTGCTGGAGGTCGAATGCTTTTGAGTTGTGTTTTCTGTCAATATTGCTGTTATAAGTGTTCAAGTGTGGAGCTAGTAAGTTGAAGTTTCAGGTATAAATCGAGGTACTAATTAATAGTTGTATTCGTGTGGATCTGTTTGATTTTGATCCAGTGTGGATAATCAATATTGAAACTTTCGCAATAAATATGCCGTCGATATGTAATATTGTATCATCGGCAGGAATTTGTGTTCTGTATCTCAGTTATGGCTTTAGCTAGCTCGATCACTCCCCAGATAACGTAATAACATGCGATGGAGACGAGGATTACAGTTCGTGAATGATAACTACGTTATTATAGCAATGCCGCTTGACTCGTACCGTAGAAGGGCTTTGACCGCTGGGTATGACATTTTGACCAGTGAGCGGAGGCACGTGGAGTTAGGAATACTTTCTGGACTATACTGGTTGGTTTTTCATGACGCCAAGAGCTGGATCGAAATGCTAAATCCCTATAGTGCACGTGATAGGATAGCTCGAAATTAAGATGTCACAATTGAAATGCGGTTTTTAAGTTACATCATAATGCCAATTAAGTGTTGCCAGATTCTCACCTTGAGTGTGAAGCAATGGCGTGGAATTACTTTTTCGTGCTCGTTTAATACGTCCTTAAAAAATTTTCATTTACTCTAGATTGATTTTTTTCTAAACACATACGCCTTTATACCAAATGTAGGGTTAATGTCGCGCTCAATATTCCATTTCGCCATGAATCATTTGTGTTTTATCTGGCAACCACATACTGAAGCCTCCTGGTAAATTTTTAAAAGCAGTGAGTGAAGAGAAACGTTCTAATAAGAAGGTTAGGTTGATCGGTCCGAATGGAGTAATTTATCGACAACTGCCGTAATGAGGATGATCAACCCCAAAGTAAATAAAAATACGGACCGCGGACTTATGCAACTGTGAGTAGTATTTTTACATATTTCTTGTGCGTGTTGGAGCCAGAATCTGATGTTCTGGACCTATTCGACTTCAGTGCAGTTTTACCACATCCTCACCCGATAAACAAAAACACGAGAAATACCACTAACGATTAATTTAAGGCGGGATTATTTTCGGTCAGCCATGTAGAATACTTCTACAGTGTCATTTTGGTACGCGATCTCAGCGTCATAAAACTACTTTGGTACGTGACCTCACTTGCTTAAGGCTGGATCAACAATTGAACAAAATAAGCACGTGCGTAGGGTACCCGGGCCGCGTGATTTAGTGTAACTGGGAGAGTAAAATATTTGTCTGAACTTTCGCTATCATTGAGATGGAAGCTTAAAACGATCGCTAATGAAAAGTAGGGCATATGATTAGAATAGCAGATATTAGTCCGCTACCTAACATCGCATTCGTGTATTGCATTCCTACCATGATTAGTCTTTTGAAAGTAATACTTTGTTTTATGTAACTGCGTAGTTCAGCAGACAGTGCAATTTTACAACCGCATCAAGACTACGAGTGTTAGAAACCATCTCTTCTTGTATAATATGTACAAGGCATATGCTCAAACAAGGCTTTGGATAAAAGACACTGGTGCGAAAGCGTAACTGAATGATCGGATTATTGCTCATTCAGCATAAATGATCGGGATCGTGTCAAATATTCATGAGTTAGGATTCGAGCTCACTCGCCCACAGTTTGGTATCAGGCATTATCTCGGATCTTGTTTAAATCGAAATTTTGAATTTTTTGCATTTTAGGGACTGCCCGTAATTAGTTTTAATTGTGCGCAGACATCAATATATTTGACTAGTATTAACGACTTAGTTTCTTTCCCCGCGCGATATGATTGTATGAGTTGACTCATTTTGTTAAGCTAACGGCCGTAAAGATATGCAAAACTTCCATGTTAATTTACATCTAACGTTTTCTTGTTTGCTCAACTGCTGTGTGGAAACGTTTCAAAGCTTGTAAAAACAAAAGACTTGTTTGAATGAAGCAAGACAAATATTATTATTAAAATGTGAGAAAAATTCCAGTCCAAGCAGAGAAAGGTAAAATAATAAGATTATAGTTTTGATAATATGTATTTGAATGCTGAGAAAACAATAAAAATATACAAGAATCGTTATCTGCCTTGCTCAGTGAGTTCAATAAAATGAGGGACGGACGATTAACCCAGAAATAGTTAGGCGGCACATATACGAAACGTATCTAGTTGATTTAATATTTCAAACATTGTCAAGTTCACTTAGAAATACAATACTAAAAAGTAATGCATTGAAATGAATGAAACCAAACGAGTGGGGTTCTGGTACTGAACACCGTGAGCTGTCGCTTCTATTGAGCGCATGCTAGCAAAAAGCGATAGGGAGAAAATTATGTTATGGGGTAAGTTTTTAAAATCAGTAAAATTTGGGGTAAAACAAAGAGTTCCGACGATAGCGTAGAAACTATGTATTTATTGGCTTTTTAGGATATAAGATTTCAATGCGATAGGTCCGAGAATTATGAAGAAGCAACCCAATTACAAAATGAACACGACTACCAGCGACAACAATAATTGAGCAAACATCGTGTCTAATAATTTTCTCACTTTCACTGTGGGTTTGAATTTCATTTTCAAAATAAATATAGAGAATTTGGAGCAGCAAGGCAGATATATAAACCATAAACAATCCGTCATCGTATGGAAGAGCATGGCAAGTGTCGGGTGATCACACTTTGTCACCTCCTTCAGTCTTTCGTACAACGGCAGAATACATGTCGTATTTATGCTCGTCTTCTTCAATAGATGGAGTTTTCTTTTCATCTGAATTAAAAATTTGTTTTGAATCTATTTTTTGGAATATTCACCCGTGCAATTCCGTGCACTCTTGAATTTTTGCAAAATGCATGTGGGAAATTTAAAAAATATCATGTTGTGCAATGAATTCAATTTACACTATTTTGCTTATTCAGTTATGATTTTGGTTATTTGTGATTAAAATATTCAGTCTACCACATATGGTTTACGTTGTATCACCTTCTTGGTCTTTTCGGGCAAGAGCAGAATACATGATTGTATACGGAGATTCCTCTTCTTGAATTGCTGAAGTTGTCGGCTCATCTTGCTCGGCGACTGAAATAAATATTGATATAGAATTTCGCTTTAATTTTAACCATATGCTTTCAAGCAAGTAATTTCTATAATTATAAATCTACATATTAATAACCGTTTCTGCTTATAAGTAAGTTTCATGACTTCGCAAGTTGACAAATTATTTTTAATGTAAGAAATTTCCATGATATTGTCATTAAAATGTTTAGGACTTATATCCGTAGTGTTTGAGGGTGAAAAATTTTTGAAATTATCGATTTAAATCGGAAAGGATCATTCTGTGACATTTTGAAATATATTATAGTTGTCAACCTTGGCACGTGTTCTTGGCATTTTCCATTTCACGATCAACGCTCGTAGATGAACCGTCACCTGCAGAATTGTCTTGTTCCGGTTCTTGAATTGGAGATTCAACATTTTTCATCTGATCGCTGCCAACATTCTCTTGCCCGACTTTGTTACCATCTTGAGATTTGTCCCTGTCAGAGGTATTTTTATATTTTGTTTTGTCATGAAATTTTAGTTATATTCGATTCCAACACTGGCTTAGGCAACGCTTTCATAAAGTGTTGTCTTAGTAAATTTAGGCGATGAAGGTGTATTTAGTCTTTCGCTGCGAGCAAAGCAATAAATCATGATAAACTTAGAACTGGAATCTTGCCGGTTCGCAATTACCTACCGAAGTTACGAAATGGCGGTTACTCGACTGAATACGAGATATGTCTACGTGGTTAGGTCCAACGCCATAACCATTAGGCCAGGGGTGTGCAACATTTTTTGTCGTTGGGCTATATAACCAACTTCAGACATATAGTCGGGCGACACAAAAAATAGTTTATCTATGCGGGATAGATAAGAGAAGAGAGTGCGCGGCTATCGCTTAGCCTTGCTGTAATAAAGACACCTAGCAAACGGCCGAAGATTTAACGCAGCGACAAGAGCAAAAAACATGTGTTTTTACCGACGTAACAGAATTTTTAAACATCAACTGTCGGACTTTATATTTGATGGGAAAAATCGGAGTGTTGAAAAGGACCATACTAAATGGCTTGGCGGACCGGCTAGGGGCCGCCTTTTTCACACCTCTGTATTGAGCCGTTGTCCACAAACAAGATAATTGTTTGGCTTATATATATTTTTATACTTATATAAAAACAAGACGAATGATTAACTGCCAATTAAGGAAGTACTTAATAGAAGTTAATTACCCTCTCTTCCTGCAGAATACGATTGCAGTCGCCACAAGTATCATAATGCCAATGAATCCTGGGATAGAAACGAGGACAAGTTTGGTTGTGTCGCTTATTCCATCTGAATTGGCGCCAGCAGTTTCTCCGGCTGTGTCTGTTTTAGAAATTAATAATAATGCTAAGGGGCGCATATTAGTTTTGTAACACGACACGGCCATTAGTTTGGTATGAGTGTTCTCATAACATACTTAGAAGGTAGAACTTTTTTTATTTTCATTAGGACTAGTATAATTACTTGCACTATTATGGAAAAAAAATCTAAAAATGCTTAATTAAGAATTTTTTTGCTTGTTTGTGAAATATAAAATGCAGTCTTTCTTAAACTTGAATCGCACTAAAATAATCTCTTTCAAAAATCTGACCAGTTGATCATCATTTCTTGCTTTCTCATTTTAGCATATTCCATGAATGACACGTTAGTTACTATATATTCGGTAATAAAAAACTTTAATGTAGATTTACTTGTAGTTGAATGACTTGTGAAATAATTTTCGGTGCTTCCGGTTTCAATTGGAATTGACTTCGTAGTTTGTCCTGGTAAACAAATGTTTGACAAATGCAGTTTTCTATTGAGTTTTTATTTGCTTGGTGTAAAATATTACTTTTTTGTCAATGGAATTAAAGTGAATTATCCCCTGCTACAACGATTGGCATTGAAACTTGCCGCCATGAAAATCCTAAAAATTATTGTCCAAGCATTCTTTGCAAAATTTTAAGGCTTAGATGTTTTTTATCATTTAAAATACATTACCTATCTATTCAAAGTAATAGGTAGTCCTACCCATAATATCAGGATTTGTTGTTGCTTCGATCGGTGTCCCGGTTGTACTTTTTGCATCAACGCTCAAATGCGAACCCATTTTTTTGGTTCTAAGAGTATAGTTGTTGTCTGGTTCGGTAGTTTCTTGTTGGTGGTGTGAGGTATCACCGAAAACATTTGTTGCGACATATTCAGTCGTTGTTACTAAAAAAACAGAAATTTAGTCAAGACACAAATAGCATATTGCATTTTCAAGCATGGTTTAGTCATATTAACTGCCTTCTTCACTGCCTGTATCAATAAATACCTAGAAGTGACATGGGCAAAATCCGGCTGCTTTTAACCGATTTTGCATGCACTGCATAGTTGTTGTTATTGCAATCTATATGTTGCAATAGGCTTGTTAGATTAAAATCGTAGTCCTTGTAAGTTGTATTTCAGGTTGCCACAGACTTTCATGTTATGTGGACGTTAACAAGATTTTACGTTTACGTTTAAACCTCTCCTTCTTGCGTCTTGCCATTGTCGTGTGCGATCACGCGCAGCCTCGAGTTTCAATTTAGCGCCGACAAAGTTTTGTTAACGTCACCATAACGCCGCCTTAACCATCTTTTTTGTTCATTTTTTACTCATTTTTGGCTATTATTTTACGCATTCTTTTCATAAAATGTAACTTTTTACGTCACACTTACATGGCCCGCTAATGTAAATTTTAGTAATGTTCCAAAACCATTCTCACTCTTGACCTGGAGTGACTTCCGAATCAAGAGCATAAATTATTTAGCAATCAATCTTGGAGTATTTATTTCCTACAAACAATATCTTTAACAAATTTTATAGTGATGAAATGTTTACCAGCAGTCGTGGGACATTCTGACCACTTGTACTCAATCCTTAAACCCATTGATGCTGTGCTGATCACTGTTTCAGAGCCGGTATATGTTCGCCCGTCCGATATATACTGAACACGAACACTTGATTTGTTTCCTGCGTCGCCACCGCACATAGAGTCGAAGAATTCAAAAGGTTCTATCAATGAATCGGGATATTTTGTATCGACGTAATTTGTACATTCTTGTGTATCTGAATTGAATAAATTACATTTTCCCCTGATTTCTCCTCAAGTAACTTTGTTCGCAAAAAATAGGGCGAGTTTTCCCAACCAGAGAACTATTTTGTTGTTTTTGTAGAGAAACTACTAAAATTTTACTTTGTATTTCGTGTAGTTTTACTAATATTGTTTGGTTATTTAGTTCCAATATAATACATATTTATGCACACATTGTAAACTAATCAAACTGCACAAAATTCAGAGTGTGGGCCGTACATAACACTAGCTAAGGATCCTTTAGAAATTGAACACATGGTTGAGTTTTATTATAGAGCGAATAAACCGATCCAAATGAAAAAGGAATGTTTGGGAACCACGAAACTAATGTATGAACCCTACTCTAGTTCTTATAAAAAAGATTACACGATTCATATGATAGTCTTTCCATTACGAAATATAGAGTATGATTAAGTATAATAAAGACACGGCAATTTCCATATTCCCTACCGCCATTTATTGTAAAACTGTAAGATCCAAAGCATATCTTCTTACTATCGCCCAGGATATAAAGCCTCTGATACTTGATTGTTAACACGAGGGCGTAACCTTCCGAAGGATTGAAATTCCATGAGCAATTTGCTGTTCTCCCGTATTCGTCCCGATAATTTGGTGAAGTTATTTCGCCGTTTCCTGATGTTATGTTCATCTCCATTCTTCCATTACATAGACAATTACCGACAGAAATGCTTCCTGGAATCAGAAAACTACAATGATGAACTCAATGCGATCGGATATTTTGAAGCATAATACTCGCAGCTAAAAATGAGGTGACGATATGCTTTTGATTAGTGTATATATATATAAAATTATGTGAAATAGAAATTTCAATTCCTCATTTTATGAAATTGTCTTAGCAAATTACGTCATATACCTGACAGGCAAAACTAGGATTTGGCTATGAAAACTATGTATGATGTATGCCAACTTAGTTTATTGCTTGATTAAAAAATTATTTTTACTTGATTGCTCTACTCACCTAGAAGTAAAATGGCGATCAGCGACAAAACCATGTTAATTGAACTAATCTATTTAGTCTTAATTGAGAAGCAAAAATAGAAAATTAAAAGTGATATCAAAAATATGATTTTCTTCAAGTTAATTACAAGATAATATTTTAGTTACCCAGATGATGCGGATATTAACACAGCCCGACTCCGATAATTTAAGAACACCGTTCGTAACCTGAGAGCCTAGTAATTAATCTTTGATAAACAATGCAATATGTCTCGCCACTCTTTCTACCAACTGCTTTATTCTATGTCCATCTCGCTATGAAAACTCTCAAAATTATAACTTCCTTAGGGCCAAATAGGCTGTGTTTTGGAATCATCAATTTACAAAGATTAAGAAAACATGACTTGTTTATATTTGACGTCAATGATATAATTTGCAAATCTAGCGTAGATACAGATCAGTCGTGATCCATATATGAAAGGTGAACAAATCCATGACCGGATCCCGCACGCTTTCACTACATATTACTGCACTGTCAAATCAAACGAAGTCTTTCATTTATTTTAAAACTCAATAAATGTTTTAGTGACGTATCAGGCACAGCTACAATTGTACTGTCTTTATGGTTGATCTGTACATAACAACCAAAACAGAGTAGTGTTAACAGAAAGTTTTTTACAAGCAGAATGAACTATTATTAACATTAATTCTCAATTCTATGCCCTGTTTACCCTATGACATGGGTGTGCAACCTGCGGCCCGCATAAAAGCCACAATTTCCAATGAGTTTATTTTTAGTTTAATCTGGTACGTGCGAGTAATAGCAATCCATTTGTGTTGCGAAGCTGATACCTGACTCCAATTTAATATATATGCCTATGACGTTACAATGCGCTAACAGCTAGATTGTTCGAACCGAATAACGATAGTCATAAAATCAATAACAAAAATTTTTGTACCTGCAACTAATACTAACTAATACTAAGTATATGTTAGAATAGAGAGATTTGATGAGATATTATTAGATATCAGTAGCTGCTTTTATCTAGCCTTGGTTAGAGCAAAAGGCACGTGTAAGCTTCGTATGACGTTATTAAAAAGGTATCCCTCTGCCTCCATCAAAAAATTTTGGGCTGGCTACGCTTTTGTCCATATTCGGTATGGACCGGGGGGAGTGATACGACCGCACGGACATCAGAGTAAGCCCCCCCCCCCCCCCCCCTTATTTATAGGCGTAACAAAAAAAATGTTGTTTCATTGCTATCAATAATCTTTTCACCAAATGAACCAGCTGAAAATAGATGATGATGCTACGCTCTTGCCCATATTCACTATTTTGTATAATGTATAAGACAGCATTATTATAAATAAATTATGTGAAAAAGGGCCAACTGTTGTAGAGTTATTTTTCTACATGATATTTTCAGGTTTGGCCCGATTCGGTACCATATTATAGGATATAGATGGAGTTCGAATCCCATGAGGTCCATCACTCGACTACCGCGACAATGTTTTTCAGGGTTGTAAAAAAATTCAAATCCGTCCCCAGCTTCAAATCCTGAGAAAATTTCGATTTCGTTAACAAAAACTTCGGCGTACGCAAGGATAATCTGATAGAATGTTAAGACCGCTTACTGAACTTAATGCTTTCTGACTTTCTGTAAAAATTGACTTCCATCTTTACCACTGAAAGTATTAAACTCTGAGTCCCGAATTTAGCGAATTCAAAATTTCGACTCGGGGAATTTATAAAAGGCAATTCCAGCAATAGCTATAGCAGACTGGTTCACCGCCCCGATGGAAATATAAGAATAGCAGTTTCACATGATATTAAACTCAGACACACTTGATAGTTCTTCGTTACATTAAACCATGGCCACGCCGCCAGTTGTAACTTATTAATATTTATCATGCAATAATTAAATGTCCCAGGGGAAAACTGGCATTGGTCTAGTTCAGGCCCACCGATATGTTTCATCAGGCTCACTTGTGCCTGCTGAAATTATGACTATAGTTTTTATGGATATAAATTTCCGTTTGAAATATCGATGAAATAACGAATCGCTGGCTTCAGTAAATAGATACCGTAATTCCTCGCGTATTATCAACACTGAATATAATGTACAAAATTCAAATTCAAAGGGGCGGCAGGGGGGTCATTGCGCATTCTCGGTGAGGAAAGCAAGGTTAAAATCACCGATTGCTTTCTTCAGCATGACGTGGGTATTTAGGACGTGAACATCGGTATTATGTCGGCAAACTATAATTCGGCGAATTATACCTGTCTCGCAAGTATTCCACTGGACATGTGCCACAAGGACGTCGAAAAAGGTTTTCCCCCGGAACTGTGCGTAAAGTGTAGCAAACTTCCTAATATGTGATATTCTGAGACAAGACGCTGAATACAAACTAAGAATTGAAATCTCAAATCCAATTTTCGACTGAAAATGAGGAAGTGAATATTGCAAGTACGAAGCGGTGTCTTAATATATATATATAGATATAAAATGTATCGAAAAACATCAAAAATTTTGTTTTAGCAGTGTTTTGACGGATTAAAAACTCTATTTTAGACGTAGTAAATCGCAAAAATTGAAAAATTTTCAATTGGAAACTATAGCATAGGCCAGCGGTTCTCGAACATTTTGTTTGTGCGGCGCCAGATTGCCGCGTTATTTCAGAATTGTACTGCTTTTACTTTATCGCAATAAATTGTACACATAATGATTTTATTGCCGCATTTTGGATTTTGCTACTGGTGATATCTTAAAAATAATCCTAAGCGGCCCAAATTACAAAGGTCGCAATCTTATTGAAAACACCATGCACCAGTCTATTCGTTTAATTGTTTTGCAATACATTTGTTTGTAACTCCATGTTCTGTTGGAGTTTTTGGGGGCGATGTTAACGTAAAAGCACTGTAGGGGGGCGACGGCACAAAAATGTTTGAGAACCACTGTAGTACATCAATTACATTACTCAAATTAAATTATTATGTCTGTACTCATGTCACTTGCTAATCTTTCAATGTTATTTACTATATTTCCTGCTGGAATTACCTATTGCTTTACATCACTGAAACGCGATTAGTGAAACCGGTGGGCGATTGACTGATGAACTCTGTGAGGCGCAATGACTTGACAAACCTATCACTTGCCACTTCTAAATTCCAAGTTACAGTAAACGACAGGAATGCACATCATTTACTCTCTTTGAATGACCTATTCATCAAATAACGTATAATTGCCTCAATTGTTACATTGTGCTGTCTTCAATATCAAACGTTAGCGTAGCTGAGCTTCTTTTTCTATCTACTTTCTCTGTGCAGCTGTCGTAATTTGCCAGCCCCTTCAATGAATTCGCATTAATTTTTGTGTCTAGTTATTTGCAAATGAACCGTTTTTGATCATATTGATTTTGATCCTCCGGCCCAGTAACCAAGTGTATTATCCGCATCCGGCCCACTCAGGAAAATATTTGCCCACCCCTGTATTAAACGGACCTGAAGCAGCATTTGCATATTCCCAAAATAGATATAATTTTGGTCCTTTTGTACAAAGCCCCGCTGCTAATGCAAAAATGTGAAATTTGAGAAGAGCACCCCCGTCGCGTTTCAAAATAACAAATTAGTAATTATTTAGTTAGGGTTTGGAATGATTTGACTTTCCAGCGCATTCTGCATTCCTAACCCATACCTTAACTGAAGAATTACTTATTTTGAGCGTTGGCGCGGGCTTTGAACAGAATATTCATATTTTTTTTGCTTCAAACTGTTACGCAAGCTCGATCTGATGACCAACTCTTTCTTAATGAAGTGGCCACTGTGGCTGTGCGGACTATTCTGTAACGTTCACAACTCATTTTGCAACAAATTTTAGAACTGAAGGTATTTCGCCATCGACGCTAGTAACTTTACCATGAGACTGATTCGTGTTTGCTGAGAGCACCATACGCTTCCCACTCTCGCCACTTATGACAAACATCAAGCCATAAAGCTTCAATGTTTTTTCAAAGTATGATTTGCTCCCACACGGTCTTTATAACAAACATGGAAACACGAAACACAGTGTCATTTGACGTCATTGGTAATTTGCAAAAAATCCTTGTCTGTGAAGATAACAATTGCTCAACTAAGGGCCGAATACACTAATTTAACTATTGGCCTTATATGAAGATTTGATACCGACACCTGTGTGTGTGTTATATTATGCAATAAATTTTTAAATGCAACTAATCGAGCCTTCGACTCAACAAATGCTCTCAGTGCGTTTCAAAGTTTTCATATTCAAATTGGGATATAATTTCAGATGTATCCTTTGAGAGCACAGCCGAAATCAATCGAACGTTCTTATATGACGAACAACGGCCTCTTGTCCGGTTACAAGGCTGGGTATGTGCTTCAGTTAGTTCAAAGCGTAGGGCCAACATTTTAGTGGAAACATCGCATTCCCATGTATAACACTTCGCACAAGGTACAATGAATTGAACTATGTCGACTGGGAAGCTTCCGGTCCTTTGTTATGGTATCTCACCTATCAATGACTGCTTATACACGGCCTTGTTTTGAGTGGAAGACGTTTAAAATATGTCATATTAAAAAGATACGATGTGGCGCTATAGCAATGCGTATTCATTACCTTGGTCTACAGTTCGAAACACCGACGCCCAATGATTCATCCTTCAAGTTTGAACGATAAGTATTTATTCCTTATCGATTTTAATCGGTAAGTATGTTGATAGGTATTTGTCTGTTAGATGCAGGCTATATCTCACGAAAGCGAGGTTGAATCTGCTCCAAATTTGTGAATGCATGTGCATTCATCATAGCTTGGATCAGTAGCCGATTGATTTTCGATGAATTATGTCGTATAATTAGCGAGTTATTAATTAATTAGTGATAGGACACACGGTGTCACTATGAAGTAAGAACGCTGTTTTGGGGGATCCCCTAACCTTCGATCGATAAGTATTGGGTCTCCGACCGATATTCTCGTTATTATATCACGCATACAAAGCCTCACAAGTAAAAGTTGCGAGATGACATTCACTGGTTGCAAAATCAGTCTGGCTTCACATATTAG